CCCCATGACTGACAAAAAACCACCACCAACAAAAACAAACAAAGCCAGCCTAGGTAGGAAAGTTCATGAGACTCATTGCTAATTAACCGCCAGAAAGTGGAACTGTGGGTCAAAGTGGTAGAGCTCTAGCCTTGAGTGAGAAACTCAGGGACAGTGTCAAGGCCCTGAGTTCAAGCTGTACAACAGAGGGGGAAAAATTGTCTAGCATGTACAAGACCCTAGGTTTGATCCTAGCACTGGAAAAAAAATTCCTCAGCCTATTTTTCAAAGCTATTCAACACTAAGGCTCCTATGGATCCATACAGTGTTATTTCTTCTGCTTTAACTAGTAATTTGTACTTCAGGTATACCAAATGTCAGATACTTTTTTTTTTTGGGGTCTGGTTGTGGGGCCTGAACTCTGGGCCTGGGCGCTGTCCCTCAGCTCTTCAGCTCAAGGCTAGCGCTCTACCACTTGAGCCACAGCGCCACTTCTGGCTTTTTTCTTTTTGCTTATGTTGTGCTGGGGAATCGAACCCAGGGCCTCATGCATGCAAGGCAAATGCTCTACCACTGAGCTACCTTCCCAGCCCCATGTGAGATACTTTCTACAGTGTTATCAGCCTTTCTTTCCTCCTCTAGGCGGTACTCTCCTTAAGGTTATCTTACACCTAGCTTTTTTTTTGAGCCAAGCTTGAACTCAGGGCCTGGGCGCTGTCTCTGAGCTTTTTTTTTTCTTTTTTTGCTGTCAGTTGTGGGGCTTGAACTCTGGGCCTGGGTGCTGTCCTTTAACTTATAAGATCAAGGTGAGCGATCTACCACTTGACCCACAGCACCAGTTCTGGTTTTGTGGTGGTGTATTGGAGATAAGAGTCTCTCAGAGAAAGGTGCTGGTGGCTCAGGCCTGTAATCCTAGCTATTCAGAAGGTTGGGATTTGAGGATCACAGTTCAAAGCCACCCAGTGCAGGAAAGTCCATGAAACTCATCTCCAATAATCCACCAGAAAACCGGAAGTGGTGCTGTGGCTCAAGTGGTAGAGCACTTGCCTTGAGCTGAAAAGTGGCGGGACAGCACCCAGGCCCAGGCCCAGAGTTCAAGCCCCACAACTGACCAAAGAAAAAAAAAGTCTCTCAGACTTTCCTGCCCAGGCTGGCTTTGAACTGCGATCCTCAGATCTCAGCCTCCTGAGTAGCTAGGATTACAGGCATGAACCACTGGCACCTGGCTAACATCCAGCTTATTTTATGCTTAATTGGAGATAAGAGTCTCATGAACTTTCTTACCCAAGCTGGTTTTAACCCACAATCCTCAGATCTCAGCTGGTGGTGTGAGACATCAGCACCTAGCTTAAACCTATCTTTGTTACTTTTACTTTACAGATATTAATTGAATGGGTAAAACTCACCAGATACTGTTAGGTTATGAAGTACGATTCTGAACAAGACCAACATAATGTCGTCCCTATGGAATTTACAGTATTTATGTCCCTAACACTTTATGCATGCCTTTATTATAAAACTTACTACATTACAATTTTGTTTACATGTTTACAACCTCCTGGACCATGAACTTTGCAAAGGATAGTATAAATTTTATTCACCTTCATTTCCCCAGTGGCTAGAATACAGAAGGCATTAAATAATATTTCATCCAATAAACAAATGCGAAAAATCATTCCTGGGCTGAGAAGGTGGCTCAGTGGTAGAGCGCTTGCCTTGCATGCTCAAGGCCTCGGTTAGATTCCTCAGCACCACATAAGCAAAAAGAAAAAAGCCGGAAGTGGCACTGTGGCTCAAGTGGTAGAGCGCTAGCCTTGAGCTGAAGAGCTGAGGGACAGCACCCAGGCCCAGAGTTCAGGCCCCACGACCGGAACCCCCCCCCAAAAAAAAATAAATAAAAAATCATTCCTTTTTTTTTTTTTTTTGTCCATCATGGGGATTGAACTCTGGGCTTGGGCACTGTCCCTCAGCTCTTCAGCTCAAGGCAAGCACTCTACCACTTGAGCTACAGCACCACTTCCAGTTTTCCAGTGGTTAATTGGAGATAAGAGTCTCACGGGGAATTCCTGCCTAGGCTGGTTTTGAACCACAATCCTTAGATCTCAGCCTCCTGTGTAGCTATGATTACAGGCATGAGCTACCAAGCGCCTGGCTAAAACCATTCCTTTTAGATGTTCACTAGCAAGTGTATTCTCTTTTATTAAGGAAGATGCTGTAATACAATAAAATGCTAGAAAGCTCTTGGTTGGGAAGGTTTTTGGTTCTTCAAATTATATCACATCTTCATATGATCAAAGGACCAGGTCCAAATTTTTGAAGTAGGAAGATGCAGTAATAACAGAGTGAGAATTACAATCTTCTGCAGGCACAGCTGCTTCTATAAAAACTCTATCTGGTTTTATATGAAAAGTTCTTTGGGCCAAGCATTTGTGGCTCTTGCTTGTAATTCTAGCTATTCAGGAGGCTTATATTTGAGGGTTGGAGTTCAAACCTAGCTTGGGCAAGATGGTCTGTGAGATTCCTATCTCTGATTAATCAGCAAAAGGCTGGAAGTGGAGCTGTAGCTCAAGTGGTAGAGCACCAGCCTTGACTAAAATAACTAAGGAACAACACCCTGGTGCTGAGTTCAAACTTAAGTACTCTTGTCAAGGGAGCTTTCAAAGTTGTAGGAGAAATGAAAATAACAGTTGTATTTCACTATCACCTTCCTAAATTTTTTTAATTTTTATTTATTTTATTTTATTTTTGTCGGTCGTGGGCTTGAACTCTGGGCCTGGGTGCTGTCCCTCAGCTCTTCAGCTCAAGGCGAGCGCTCTACCACTTGAGCTACAGCGCCACTTCCGGTTTTCTGGTGGTTTATTGGAGATAGGAGTCTCACAGTCTCTCCTGCCCTGGCGGGCTTTGAACTGCGATCCTCAGATCTCAGTCTCCTGAGTAGCTAGGATTACAGGCGTGAGCCACCAGCGCCCGGCTTTATTTTTAGGTCCGGTTGTGGGGCCTGAACTCTGGGCCTGGGTGCTGTCCCTCAGTTCTTCAACTCAAGGCTAGCACTCTACGGCTTGAGCCACAGCACCACTTCCGGCTTTTTTCTTTTTGCTTATGTGGTGCTGAGGAATCAAACCCAGGGCCTCAGGCATGCAAGGCAAACACTCTACCACTGAGTCACCTTCCCAGCCCACCTTCCTAAAATTTTTTTAAGGCGGTCTCTTAAACACCCTTAAATCTCCTCCAGTCAATTCAGTTTCCATTAGCCAGTTTAACTGGCTTATCTTGACCATCACAGCACAATGACAAGCAGGATTTGCACTTATATTTAATTTTACATTTTCTGTTGCTCAGAATGCTTTCCTTTGTTTCTCAAAAGACAAACACAAGTATACAATAAGAAGGACACCCTTTAAAAACTAATATTTAACTGTGTGCTAGTAGTTCTTGCCTTTAATCCTAGCTACTCAAGAGGCTGAGGTTTAAGGATTTTAAGTCCAAGCTAGCTGGAGGAGGGAAAGCCCAAGAGCTGGGAGTGGGGCTGTGGCTCAAGTGGTACAGCGCTAGCTTTGAGCAAAAAAAAAAAAAAAGCTCAGGGACATCACCCAAGCCCTGAGTTCAAGTCTCAGGATCGGCAACACACACACACACACACACACACACACACACACACACACACACACACACACACACACACACACACACACACACACACACACACACACACACACACACACACACACACACACACACACACACACACACAGTCCCCAAATCCAAAACCCCAAAACCTGTCACAGAACACAAAACGTCAAAACAGTATTAGGCTGCACCAAGGAACATTGAAATACTCCTGTTCAAGAAATGTACCGTCTCGGGCTGGGAAGGTGGCTCAGTGGTAGAGTGCTTGCCTTTCATGCATGAGGCCCTGGGTTCGATTCCTCAGCACCACATATGCAGAAAAAGCTGGAAGTGGCGCTGTGGCTCAAATGGTAGAGCTCTAGCCTTGAGCTGAGGGGCAGCGCCCAGGCCCAGAGTTCAGGCCCTATGACTGACAAAAAAGAAAGAAAGAAAGAAACCATCTTAAACTTTAATGTACGTAAGAATTACAGAGGAGGTGATCTTATTAAGATGCATTTAGTAAGTTTGATTAGAGCAAGCCACTAAGTGATGGCAATGTCCCTGGACTGTGGACCTATTTTCATAGCAAGGAAAGAGTGATCTAACGGAAAGGCAGATGCTTCGTTACAAAACGTATTTTGGGGAGTGTTAATTAAATAAAACTCTCGTTTGGACGGAGCCAGGCGGAACACTTCTGTAGTTTCAAACATCTCACTTTCTGCCCCACCTACCTTCCAAGCCCAAACTAGATTCCCCATCTTAAACTATAAGACTCGGAGCAGCAACATGTCCAGCTACGGACCACAGGAACCCAGGTAATGAAGAAAGAAACATCTCTGCACTTACTAGTCTAAAGGCCGGGGGATTAGATGGAGTCCGAGTCGTGGCCTCTTCCACGCCATAAAGAAAAATTCAAAATTAAGTCCTTGTCATGAGAGACCAATCATAGCCCCGGTCCCCACATGATTCGCTCTCCAGATAGCGCAGGAGCACAACTTAGCTTATGATTGGCTGAGATCGCATCACGTAAAGCCAATCATGGCTGAGGCGCTTCTGTTACGAATATGAAGAAGGCGGGAGAAAAAGAGTAGGAAAAGCCGACAAGGAAAGAAGGTGTGTCAAGTCCCTCCACTAGTCGGTGGAAGCTTTTGTGTCATTGGTTGGTTATTCTTCGGATTGCACCAATCATGAGCTCCTCTCTGCCGAGCCCGAACTATGAAATGGAAAGTAGAGAGGAGAGCAACCAATAGAAAAAAGGTATTTGCCCAGCAGCCAATCCTCCTACGGCGTTTTGTGTCTTTGCCCAACAGAAAAATGTGTTTCATAAAGAGGGGCGTTACCCAATCGCCAATGGGCGGGCGCAGATGGAACGGAGGAACCAATGAGTGCGAGACGTTGAGTGACAGCTGTCCAATAGAGACCCTCAGTGCTAGTACGGCTTGCAGCTTAAGCGGGTCCGCGGTCTGAGGAATGTGAAGTATTCAACATGGAGGCGGAGGTCGATAAGCTGGAACTCATGGTGAGTTCAGAGTGAAGGCGGCCTATTGGGTTGTTAATTTTTCCCCAGTTGCCTCAGAAATGGGGAGCAATTTGGAGTCGCCAGAAACTCTGGGTGGTAGAGACTGGGTCAGAATCACGTTCCCTACTGCGTCGAAGGGAGCCGCCACCGCCGGGTCTCTTAACCGCTGCGGGGAAAGCAGGGGTTACATCCGGGAAACTCGGGAGGGAAATGGCGGGAGATGTTGAGGCTGCCGACCCTTTGTAGTTCCTTGCCTTCACTTTTCCTTTCCTCTGGGAGCTTCGCCTGGTGCAAATTGCGTTTTATTTGCACACACAGAAAATGTGACTGCGGGAAAGGGAGCAGTCGTTCATTATAGGAAAGTGGGGGTGGGGAGAGGAATGGAGGATGGGGTGTGGGACTAAGCCGGGGGGGGGGGGACGGAGTTGGGGGTGCAGGGAGAAAACCTTTCGGGTTGAGCGATTCTGCTTTTCGGAGGAGGTCGCGTGCAACTTGCTAGGGGTTCAGGTTGCACCTAGCTCTGTTTTGAGTGCGGAGGAGGCCAGCCTTGGGTGAGGAGTGAGCCCTGGGGATCGGGAGCACGAGCGGGATGGGGGCCGGCCAGGAACCCCGCCCCCACTTCTAAGGAAGTGAAGCGGGGAGGACGGGACAGCCTCACCCGCCCCGGGCAGGGGGGGGGGGGGGAAGAAAACGCGGTTCCCCCTCCCTGGTCCTCGGTATTCGTCTCTCCCTCCCATCTGTTGCCGCAGTTCGATCGCCCGCGCTTTTTCTTAGCTCCCTTGTTCAGTCTACAGCCTTTTGCTTTTCACACTATCAAGTCTGTTTTTCAGATTGCGTTGGCTTCCTTACAAATCCTGAATTTGTAGGAAGACCTCTTTGACCCTCTCTGCCATTTGTTTTCCTTGGTGAGGGAAAAGGAACCGTATTAAATTGAGAATTCGGAAAACTTGTTGCTTTTCCATCTGCCACCCGTCCTCCTCCCACCCCCTGCCGTTCTCTGGTGTGAAGTGTTTAGATATTCTGGTGCCTTGGCTGCTCTCTTCCTGATGAAGCTGGGGGGGGGGGGGGGTGTAACTTATGCTTTTTAGGGACACATGGTGAACCTGGAAGATGTTGAGCACCATCCCAATTCCCCACTCACACTAAAAATGTGTAAGACCTTCGTCTTTTATTTTCTTCTGATGTGTTTCTTCTGGATTGAAGTACCTCTCTAGATAAATTTATTTGATTGGTGGGGTTTCAACTGCTTCTAATGCTTTCTGTTAAAATTTTGTGTGGGAGTGTGCAGATTGCGTTGGTGGAGAGATACGGATGGGAAGGAAGAGTAATTTTCTGCAACTTTTCAAAGCTGCAATAATGAATATTAAAAGATTGAGCGCAAGCCCGGCGCCGGTGGCTCACGCCTGTAATTCTAGCTACTCAAGAGGCTGAGATCTGAGGATCGCGGTTCAAAGCCAGCTTGGGCAGGAACATCTGTGGCTCAAGCGGTAGAGCGTTCGCCTTGAGCTGAAGAGCAAAGGGACAGTGTCCAAGCCCAGAGTTCAAGCCCTACGACCGACCAAAACAAAGACTGAGCGCTTTTTTTGGTATTGTGTTTTAGAGATACACAAGGAGTTTTTGTAGTTTGATTCTGTCAAGAGGCATAAATGTAAAGCCTTTATCTTGTCCATCTCTCGATTTCTTCCTTGAGATACACGTATTTCCATCTGTTAGGTATTTTGTTCTTGTTTTGTCAGTGGTGGAGCTTGAATTCAGGGCCTGGGCTCTGTCCCTGAGCTCTTTTGCTCAAGGCTAGTGCTCTGCCACTTTGAGCCACAGCTTTTCTTCCCATCTATCTATTAGATGTTAACTAATGTTGATTTTTCCTTTAACAGATTTTTTTCCTCCTAGTCAGCTGTTTAATTTTTAAGCTTTCCTATGCATTCCAATAGGGTTTATATCTTGCCAGATTTCTTTAGATCCTATTTTTACAATAGAAACAATTATGTACACATCTAAAAAAAAGTTTGTTTTAGAAAGTTATGAGTTAGCTAGACTTAAATGTTTATGTGTAGTAAGAACTCGGTAGTTTGCACAAGGCTCTGGGTTCAATCACTCTTACAGCATACTACAACAACTAATACTACTACTAATAAAATTATGGTGGTAGTTTTAAATTTTCCTTCTGAAGAGAGGAAGAAAAGAAAGATTTTTTTTTCCCCTCCTGGTCCTGGGGCGCTGTTCTTTTGCTCAAGGCTAGGACTTGAGCCACAGCACCACTAGTGGCTTTTTTTTTTTTTTTTTTAAATTAATTGGAGAGAAGAGTGTCATGGATTTTACTGCCTGGGTTGGTTTTAAACCTAGATCCGCAGATCTCAGCCTCCTGGAGTAGCTAGGATCACAGGTATGAGCCATTGGTGCCTAGCTGGTTAATATATATAATTGATATACATATCATATATAGAAGTAGCAATATGACCAAGGGGCATTACTGGCCTAATGGAATAGTTGTGGTTTTATTCAAGACAAACCATATTGCTAAATATGATGTGAATACTGGGGTTTTGTTTGTTTTTCTCCCCTGTGAGTAACCCCTACAGATAAAGGGAATGAGCCTGTAAGGTTGAGGAAAATGTTGGACTAGATGAAATTTGCATGTGACAGTCTTCTGGTTTTGGTAAAATAAAATTCCCTATCCATACTGCATTTCACAGATGCAGTCTCAGGGTGACTAGAAATAAACATACTAGTGTTTTGTCTTTTCATTACATCAAATGATTTACTGAAAGGAAAAAAAAAACCTCCCTCTCTCCCGTCCTTTCTTTCCTTCCTTCCTTCCTTCCTTTCCTTCTTTTCCTTCCTTTCTTCCTATGGCTTGAGTACTGGGGTTTAAACTCAGGGCTTCATGCTCTTATCTGGCTTCCTTGCTTTTGGCTTTCACTCTACTATTTTAGCCACACTTCCAGTGAATTAGTATATTAATGGTAGCTGTCTCCTCCCTTTACTGGATTAAAAAAAATCTATTAGAAATTTTTATTGTGTTTTTTTAGCACTACTGCTTTATGTTGACTATATAGTAAAACTGCTCTTCAGATTCTCCTTTTTGTTTTTTGTTTTTGCCAGTTCTGGGGCTTGAACTCTGGTCCTGGGCACTGTCTCTGAGAAATTTATTACTTTTCACTTATTTTTGACACTTTTTTCCAAAGGACTTGTTTTACATGGCAGGTAATCCATTAATTGTTTTGGAAAAGAATAATTAACAATTTATCTCAGCAAAGAACAGAAATATTTTTCATAGCCTTACCTTAGTGGTAATTATAATTGGTTTTGTTAATACCAATCCTAAGGTATTATTAATATCCATGTTAATTACTACTAAGATATAGAGCATATTTCCAAATTTTCTTTACATTTATGCATGTTTCTGTAAAGGAACAATCGTTTGATATTTTTAAGTCTTATGCTTAAAAAATAAACATTGATATAAATGGTTTTAGGTTTTGGATGTTCTCTGACTAAAATGGCAACCCAGTTGTTTTCACTTCAGATGACCAGGATGCTTTTCTGTTGCTTTCGTCCTTATTGCTGCTAACGAATGCTCTGACTTTATTGCACTACTGTACTTTACAGCTAGCAGTGCAATAGTATTGTCAAAGCATCTGAAAGCAGGGTGCACACCAGATTTGTGATTCTTGCCTTACATCTTTGTTCAGTACGTCAATAAATTGTTGAAAATGGTATAATTTTATTACAGATATTATATGTTTTAGAAAGTTATAACTTAAGCCGGGAACTGGAGGCTCATGTTTGTAATCCTAGTTACTCAGGAGGCTAAGATTGATGTTTGAAACCAGCTTTTTTTTTTTTTTTTTTGCCCGTCATGGGGCCTGAACTCTGGGCCTGGGCGCTGTCCCTCAGCTCTTCAGCTCAAGGCTAGCGCTCTACCACTTGAGCCACAGCGCCACTTCCGGCTTTTTCTGCTTATGTGGTGCTAAGAAATCGAACCCAGGGCCTCATGCATGCACTTTACCACTTTACCACTGAGCCACCTTCCAGCCCTGAAGCCAGCTTTTATGCAAGAAAGTTTGTTAGACTCTTGTCTCTAATTAACCACCAAAGCCAGAAATAGAGCTGTGGCTCAACTGTTACAACACTAGCCTTGAGCAAAAAAAGTTCAGAGTCAGTGGCTAGGCCCTGAGTTCAAGCCCCAGAACTGGCACACAAAACAAACAGCAGCAACAAAAAACTCTGCTACTGTACTATGTTGTGAAACAATCTTAGGAAATACATATAATATCTAAAGTTTGGTTTGTCTAAATGAGTAATACTTTGTAATTTGCTTCTTTCTACAATGCATTTGGAAAATTTCTGGTAACTCAGGTTTTATTTACTAAAGTTTTTTGAATTAGTAAGTGACACAAATAATTGCTGCCATATATTTAAGATGGCAACTTGACAGGTATTTTTGTAGCCGGGCACTGGTGGCTCATGCCTGTAATCCTAGTACTCAGGAGACTGAGATCTGAGGATCATGGTTCAAAGCCAGCCCAGGCAGGAAAGTCCATGAGACTCTTATCTCCAGTAAACCACTAAAAAAACGTAAATGGCTTTGTAGCTCAAGCAGTAGAGCGCGCCCAAGCCCAGAGTTCAAGCCCCACGACCGACCAAAAAAAAAAAATTTTTTTTTTTTTTGTAGCCAGGTGCTCGTGGCTCATGCCTGTAATCCTAGCTACTCAGGAGACTGAGATCTGAGGAGACTGAGATCTGAGGATCGTAAGCCAGGTCAGGAAAAGGCTGTGAAACACACTCTTACCTCCAATAAACCATCAGAAAACGGAAGTGGCGCTGTGGCTCCAAGTGTAGCACACTAGCCTTGAGCTGAAGAGCTGAGGGACACTGCTCAGACCCAGAGTTCAAGCCCCATGACCAACCCCCCCCCCCCAAAAAAAATATATATAATTTTTTTTGGAAATAAATAAAGCTTATGTTGTAATAATGAGATTTAAAGTATGAATTAAGTATGAATTTTTTTTTTGGTAATGAGTTTTATTTACATAAAATAAAACCTATTCAATGTAAGTATAGAGTTTGATGAGATTTGGCAAATATGTACTTTGGTCATGTGGCCATGTCCACAGCCAGCATACAGAACATCTCCATCAAATTAAAATGTTCATTTTTGCTCTGTTGTCAATTGCTTCTCTCCCAGTCTTCTGGCAACCTCTGTTCTTTCTAGTTTTCTAAATTTTCATAGAAATAGAATCCTACAGTATTGTAAGTAGGATTAAGCCACCAGTGTCTGACTTTTCTTTTCCCTCTGGTCCCAGGGCTTGAACTCTGGACCTGGGCCCCATCTTTGAGCTTCTTTTGCTCAAGGCCAGTGCTCTACCATTTGAGCCTCAGCACCACTTCTGGCTTTTTTGAGTACTTGATTAGAGATAAAAGAGTCTCAGGGAGCTTTCTGCTTGGGCTGGCTTGGAACCATGACCCTGAGATCTCAGCTTCCTGAGTAGCGAGGATTACAGGTGTGAGCCACTGTTGCCCTGCCGAATTTTATTTTTTAATAGTGCTGGAGGGGCTGGGAAGGTAGCTCAGTGGTAGAGCGCTTGCCTCGCATGCTCGAGGCCCTGGGTTCGATTCCTCAGCACCACATAAGCAAAAAGAAAAAAGCCGGAAGTGGCACTGTGGCTCAAGTGGTAGAGCGCTAGCCTTGAGCTGAAGAGCTGAGGGATAGCGCCCAGGCCCAGAGTTCAGGCCCCAAGACCGGACCCCCCCCCCAAAAAAAAAAATAGTGCTGGAATTTGAACTCAGGGCTTTGTGCTTGCTAGGTGGACTCTCTAGTCTCCAGACCTTTTTGCTTTGGTTATTTATTTGTTTGTTTATTTATTTATTTTTGTTGGCCATGGGGCCTGAACTCTGGGCGTGGGCCCTGTCCCTCAGCTCTTCAACTCAAGGCTAGCTCTCTACCACTTGAGCCACAGGGCCACTTCTGGCTTTTTCTGCTTATGTGGTGCTGAGGAATTGAACCCAGAGCCTCATGCATGCAAGGCAAGCACTCTACCACTGAACCACCTTTCCCAGCCTTGCTTTGGTTATTTTTGAGTTAGGGTCTCAGTTTTTGTCCAGGTCAGCCTGGACCACAATCTTCCTATTTATGCTTCCTATGGTGGCTGGGATAACAAGTGCTTATCACCATGCTCAGCCTTTTCTGTTGCTACTTAGGGGTCTAGCAAACTTGTTTCCCAGGTTATCCTGGAACTATGAAACTCTTGATCTCAGTTTCCTGAGTAGGTAGGATTAGAGGTATGGGCCACTATCAAGTGAAATAGTTTGAAAATACTTAATAGAGCCAATGCTCTGGTATCAATGATTCACATGCTTTTTCATTTTCACATTTTCAAAATGAATTTTTATCATGACATGTAAATATTAGAAAATGTGCAAAGACTTGGTGGGCATGGGTTAGGTCATGCCAGGAGTCCTAGCACTCAGGAAGCTGAAGCAGGAGTGTCATGAGTTTGAAGCTACCCTTGGTTTACACAGAATTCTAGGTTAGTGTGAACTACATAGTGAGACTTTGTCTCAACAAATAAAAGTGAGGAGAAAGAAAAGAATATGTTTACTAATATACCATTTGGTTTACAACATAATTACTTGTGCTGACTTTTAGTTCCAGAAAGCTGATTCTGACCTGGATTACATTCAGTACAGGCTGGAATATGAAATCAAGGCTAATCACCCTGATTCAGCAGGCAAGGTAACATGCAAAATAAAAAAGCTTTTTAACTGGAAAATTTCTAAAAATAAATTCTGGTAATATATATATATATATATATATATATATATATACATACATACATACATACATATACACATACACATATGTATACATATATACACTGCATATACATATGTACACATATACACACTATATACACATATATACACATATATATACATACTATAAATATTGGTTCCCGTGGTAGGGCCTGAACTCTGGGCCTGAGCGCTATCCCTCAGTTCTTCACCTCAAGGCTAGCGCTCTACCATTTGAGCCACAGCACCACTTCCGGCTTTTTTTTTCCTGCTTATGTGGTGCTGAGGAATTGAACCCAGGGCCTTATGCATGCAAGGCAAGTACTCTACCACTGAGCCAACTTCCCAGCCCAAATTCTGGTAATATTTTTAATGTAATAGAGGATAACTATGATTAACTATTAACTTTCTAGAGTTTTTTCCCTTAATTATATATGTGCAGGCACTGAGGTTTGAATCCAGGGCTTCATACTCTCACTTGGCTTTTTCCTCTACCACTCAAGCTACACTTTTATTTAGAAATATTGTGTAATTAATGACTGGGCTGTATCCATTTTTCTTGAGGGGGCGGTCAGTTATAGGACTTGAACTTAGGGACTAGTTGCTGTCCCTGAGCTCTTTTGCTCAAGGCTAGTGCTCTACCACTTTGAGCCACAGTGCCACTTCTGGTTTTCTGGTGGTTAAGTCATGGAGCTTGTACTCTGGGCCTGGGCGCTGTCCCTCAGCTCTTCAGCTTGAGGCAAGCGCTCTAGCGCCACTTCTGTTTTCTGAGTAGTTTATTGGTGATAAGAGTCTCATGGACTTTTCCTGCCTGGGCTGGCTTTGAGGCTTTGAACCGTGATCCTCAGATCTCAGCCTCCTGAGTAGCTAGGATTACAGGCATGAGTCATTGGCGCTCAGCTTTTTTTTTTTTTATTAGTGTACATCAGTTGTACTATGGGTTTTTTACTGTGACATTTCCATACATGTATGTAATAATACTTTGATCTTATTTACTCTATTACTCTTCATTATCTCTCTTCTACCCCTTCAAATGTTATAGATCCAAACCATTGTTTAATACTTGTCTCTACGTGTATATAACGTATGTTTGTGTGTGTGTGTGTGTGTGTGTGTTTGTATTATTCCTGTACCTAGGCTATAAAATCCTGAAGATTAGGAACGATGTCTTACACTTTTTCCCCAGTTCTCAAATTCTGTCATATAGTCACATCAATTAAATGGAATATAGGATGTGTTGTAAAATTTAATTTGTAAAAAGATGTTTAAATTTTCCATTTCATTGTTTAACCTGTACTTTTTTTTCCTTATATAGAAAAATCCAGTTACACTTTTAAAGGAATTGACAGCCTTAAAGTCTCGATACCAAACCTTGTATGCACGTTTTAAGCCAGTCGTTGTTGAGCAGAAAGAGACTAAGAGCCGAATTTGTACTACTTTGAATAAGACCATGACCATGATACAAGAACTACAAAAGCATACAGACCTGGAGGTAATGATTTTAAGTGACAAGTTGGATCTGTATAGTTCTTGTTCTGAATGTTGTTTTTAAAAGATAAACGCACTAGGTGGTGGTGGCTCACGCCTGTAATCCTAGCTGCTAAGGAGGCTGAGATCCAAGGATCATGGTTCAATGCCGGCTTTGGGCAGGAAAGTCCAAGAGCCTTTTTTTTTTTGGTCCTGGGGCCTGAACTCTGGGCCTGGGCGCTGCCCTTCAGCTCTTAAGCTCAAGGCTAGGGCTCTACCACTTGAGCCACAGCACCACTCTGGCTTTATCTGCTTATGAGGTGTTGAGTAATCAAACCCAGGGCCTCATGCAAGGGAAGTACTCTACCACTGAGCCATCTTCCTAGCGCCCAAGAGACTCTTATCTCCAATAAACCACCAGAAAACCGGAAGTCGCATTGTGGCTCAAGTAGTAGAGTGAGCTGAAGAGCTGAGGGATGTGCCCAGGCCCGGAGTTCAAGCCCCAAGACCGACACCTCCTCTTGCCCCCCGCAAAAAATGCAGTGTACATTGAGTTAAAACCATACTTACAATGTCCAATTTTCGCCTTTTCCTGGGCTAAAAATATGTGGTATTAAGCCAAGCACCAGTGCCTCACACCTGTAATCCTAGCTACTCAGGAGGCTGAGGTCTGAGGATCACAGTTTGAAGCCAGCCCAGGCAGGAAAGTCCATGAAACTCGTATCTCCAATAAACTACTCAAAAAAGCTGGAAGTGATGCTGTGGCTTAAATGGTAGAGTGCTAGCCTTGAGCTGAAGAATTGAGGGACAATGCCCAGGCACAGATTTCAAGCCCCATGACCCACACACACACACAAAAAAAAGATAAACCCCCATTAGCAGTCTGAACTGTTAAACAAAATTTTCTTTGTCTTTTTGGTTTGTTTTTTTGGGTCCGGTCATGGGGCCTGAACTCTGGGCCTGGGCGCTGTCCCTCAGCTTTTCAGCTCAAGACTAGTGCTCTACCACTCGAGCCACAGCTTTTTTCTTTTTGCTTATGTGGTGCTGAGGAATTGAACCCAGGGCCTCTGGCATGCAAGGCAAGCGCTCTACCACTGAGCCACCTTCCCAGCCCCCTTTGTCTTTTTGGTTTCAAAGAGGTTCTGACTTTGTAGATCAGGCTGGCCTTGACCTTGGAATCTTCCTGCCTAAGTGTCCTAAGTGCTGGGATTCCAGGAGTATGCCCACTAAATCCAGTTAGAAATGAATTTTTTTTCACGTCCTTGAACATAACTATTCTTATTTCCATTTATTCTAAAATAAGTATGTGGCCTTGACATAACTGATAAAAAAACTATTCTGTCTTGGAGCCATGGCAGAAGAGAACTTCAGTGTATCAACTCTGCTGGCTTTTATACCTAGTGAGCCGGACAAATCTGGAACGCATTATCTGATTTTGTTGTTGTTGTTATTACTCTAGTGCAGAGGTATTAAACCCATAGTTTTACCCACGCTGTGTTAGTATGTTCACCACTTAGTAACCTCTCCCTCCCTCCCTAATTCCCTTCTGTTGATCAGTAGTTGGGTGAGTGGGCCTGATGTTTCACATTCTCTTCATCTAGTTCCTATCCTCAGATTATTAGTGTGTAAGAATTCTTGTAATTATGTACTTCAATCACTTGTGTAAAACTTCAGATATCTTGGAGTAGAAGAAAATGATGGATGCTGCTGATCTGCGCACTAAGATTTTGAACCAACAAGTAAAGGATTTGGCAACAATTTCATTTACTATTAATAGAACCCAGGGCTTCATGTATGCTAGGCAAGCACTCTATCACTAAGCCACATTCCCAGCTCCTTGAGGACTCTTCTGCCTTGATCTGTGATACTTCAGATCTTGGCTTCCTGAGTAGCTAGGATTACAGACAACTGTTCAGAAGGAAACAAACCTTTTTAGAGAGTTTAAGTATAGTTCACATGTACATGTACGTACAGTATTTATATAAAAATGTGGGTGAGTGAACAAAGAGAAAATAATATTTTTAAATATTTGTTTTAAGTATTTGTGATTGAAACTACAAACTGATACAAAAAAGATATGGTAGTGATGTATTACATTGCTGGAAATCAAACCTAGGGTCTCTTACATTAGGTAAATGCTCTAGTGATAAAATTGTAATCATCTGAATCCCTGTAAAAGGGCTCAGTTATGAGTAGAAATATCTGAAATAGTAATAATTATGTGTAAGGCAGAAAGCTAAGGGAGTTTTCACTTTGGAACAGCTTATGGCCAATAAATGACTAAAAAGTAGGTTACAAACTTTGAGAAAGGAGGCCATATTCTAGACTCAGTAGAATCAATGGTAGCCAAATTGGGAAGTGTGGATATAGATCAAGGGACTAGAAAATTCAGAGAATATACAGAGGTGGCATTCATTCGTTAAGATGAAAAGGGAGATGTAAAAATTAACTATTTTATTTAAACTGCGTGTGTATGCCTGTGTGTGTGCACTCACACATGGGCCAGTCCTAGGGCTTGATCTCAGGGACTAAGCACTGTCTCTGACCTTTTTTTTTTGTTTTTTGTCGGTCGTGGGGCTTGAACTCGGCCTGGGTGCTGTCCCTCAGCTCTTCAGCTCAAAGCGAGCGCTCTACCATTTGAGCTACAGCGCCACTTCCGGTTTTCTGGTGGTTTATTGGAGCTAGGAGTCTCACGGTCTCTCCGGCCCGGGCTGGCTTTGAACCGTGATCCTCAGATCTCAGCCTCCTGAGTAGCTAGGATTACAGGCGTGAGCCACCAGCGCCCGGCGTCTCTGACCTTTTTTGCTCAAGGCTAAAGCCAAACCTCCAATTCAGACCTTTTTAGGGGGTAATTTATTGTCAATAAATCATCTCATGGACTTTCTGCCTGACATGGCTTCAAATAGGAATCTGAGTAACTAGGATTACAGATGGTGAGCCATTGGTGCCTGGCTTTATTATTGGGTATTTTTTGGCCCTGAGGCTTGAACTCTGGGCCTGGGTGCTGTCTCTGAGCTTCTTGTGCTTAAGGCAAGCACTCTACTATTTGAGCCACCGTGCCACTTCCAGCTTTTTCTGAGTAGTTTATTGGAGTTTCCTTCCCGGGGCTAACTTCCCACAATCCTCAGATCTCAGCCTCCTGAGTAGCTAGGATTACCTGAGTAACTGGTATCTGGCTCTATTATTGAACTATTTAATAACCAAAATATGATTGAAAATGGGATAATATGTATATAGAGAATTATATATCCAAAGAATAGCTCTTAAATTTGAGTTTAAAGGACATACTGTGTAGTTGAGTATATAGCTCATGGACAGTGTTCAGGCCCTGAGTTGAAGCCCCAGGACTGACAAAGAAAAGAAAAGCGAAGCCCAGGGATAGAGTCCAGCCCCTGAGTTCAAGCCCAAGGCCAGCACCCAAAAATAAAAAGGTAGCAGAAGAGGGGGATAGCTCAGGCCTAGCTACTTAGGAGGTGGAGATTAGGAAAGAGGTTTGAGATCAGTCTGTGCAAAATGTCTGTGAGATCCTGAATCAGCCAATAAAAATAATGCAGTAGTTTGTGTTTTTTTTTTTTAATCACAATTACAGGGGAGTCATGAATAGGAGGCTGGAGATCTAGGTAAGCCCATGCTTAACACGAGAGACCCTATTTGAAAAATAAACTGAAAAAGGCTGGAGGCTTAAGTTGTAGAGGAACTGCCTAGCATGTACGGCCCTGAGTGCAAACTCTTTTCTTTTTCTTTTTTTTTTGCTAGTCTTGGGGCTTGAACTCAGGAGCTTCTTTTGCTCAAGGCTAGCACTCTAACCACGTAAGCCACAGCACCACCCCTGGCTTCTTCTGTTTATGTAGTACTGAGGAATCAAACCCAGGGCTTCATGTATGCTAGGCAAGCACTCTACCACTCAGCCCTGAGTTCAAACTCTCCTACCACCAAAAATAATTAAAAAAAATAAGCAACCCCCAACACACTAGAAAGTGTAGGGGGATATTGTGATGTGCATCTGTAAGTTTACTTGGGATTTATAATATTTTTTTCATTTTGGCCATACTGAGGATTGAACTCTAGGCCTTAGGCTTGCCAGGTAAGTGTTCTAATAGTTGATCTAGGCACCTTTCTACTTTATTTTTCAGAGATGATCACAGGATTTTTCCCAAAGTAGCTTTAGGTTGTGTTCCTCTTATCTCTGCCTCCTGAATGTCTGGGAGTATAGGCATGGACTACCATACCCTGCCCAAATTGATAATCCAAATAATAAATAGGGAGCTGAGAATAGAAAGTTGGAGAAAGGCAAATACATGCTAATTTCCTTTTTTTTTTTTTTTGGTCAGTTGTGGGGCTTGAACTCAGCCCTTAGCCCTTTAGCTTAAGACTAGCCCTCTACTACTTGAGCCACAGCTGCACGTCCAGTTTTCTGGTGGTTTATTGGAGATAAGAGTCTCTTGGACTTTCCTGCCCAGGCTGGCTTTGAACCATGATCCTCAGATCTCAGCTTCCTTAGTAGCTAGGATTATAGGCATGAGCCACCAGCACCCAGCTAATTTCTCCAACTTAACTGATTGAAGATTGAATATACTTAATTTTCAAGGTGAGTTTCCAAAGGAAAAAAAGGAGTAAATTTATATCAACAAAAAAAAGCAAAACCAACTTTCAAAAATATAGTAAGTAGGCAACACAAAAGCATTAAAAATAGGATGTGTGTTATTCCATTGATGAATGTTTCAGTTACTTGTGTTAAAAAAAACTACTACAAACTTTAGTTGGCTTAACTTGACCTTAATTATTGGAAAAGTTCTTTAAGGATTAATCAGATGGTTTGAAAACTCCTCATAACAATCACAGGTACAACACTGAGAACTATTCAGTGTTCTAGTATGATAACATTTCTTTTTTTTTTTTTTTGGGTCCAGTCGTGGGGCCTGAACTCTGGGCCTGGGCACTGTCCTTCAGCTCTTCAGCTCAAGGCTAGAGCTCTACCACTTGAGCCACCACACCACTTCCGGCTTTTTTCTTTTTGCTTAAGTGGTGCTGAGGAATCGAACCCAGGGCCTCATGCATGCAAGGCAAGCGCTCTATCAACTGAGCACCTTCCCAGCCCTGATAACATTTCTTTATAGGGATATTCTTTAGTTGATTGCAGCAAGTCTTGTGGACATGCTAGGCAAACATTGATCAGTTGCCAAACCATCTGTGGCTAAGACTCATAGATTCTGGGGTGTTACAAGAATTAAACTGCCCAAGTGCCATATGTGGCAACTATGTAAATAACAAAATTAAAATTTCATTCCTTTCATTACCTGATTGGACAGTTACAGATATAGATTTCTGGCATCATGGAAAGTTTTATTGCACTTGGCTGCCCTAGAGATTCTGATTCTGTAGGTCTAGGGTGTTCCAGATTTGGCAGTCTCTCTAGAGGTGACCTACATAATTGGACAAATTAACTACTTGAGTAGTTATAACTTTTGTTATTTCTCCATATAATCCTGTTTTTTCTTTTAGCCATCCTGTTTACTGGTGCTCTATGAAAATCCTTTACAACCTCTCTTGCTTCCCTTCTCTTGCATTTGTAGGGTAGAATTGGTGGATACTGTGCTATTTTCTCATCCTCTTTTCTCCTTAGACCTGTCAGAGTGCTTCTTGAGGTGTATGTCTTCTTTCCTAGCCACATCCTTGACATGAAGCTGATGGCATCCTGAGATCCAGGGGTGTACTTGACTGGCAAGGGAAACTGGTTTTCCCTTAACATTAGTTTAGGAATGGACTTCCCGATGACATAGGGAGAGAGAATTGTTTTGTTTTTGCTTTTTTGCCAGTCCTAGGGCTTGAACTCAGGGTCTGGGCACTGTCCCTGAGCTCCTTTTGCTCAAGGCTAACACTCTACGACTTGAACCACAGTGCCACTTCTGGCTTTTTCTTTCTTTCTTTTTTTTGCTAGTCATGGGGCCTGAACTCAGGGCCTAGGCACTGTCCGTCAGCTCTTCAGCTCAAGGCTAGCACTCTACCACTTGAGTGACAGCACCCCTTCCAGCTTTTTCTGCTTATGTGGTGCTGAGGAATTGAACCCAGGGCCGCATGCATGCAAGGCAAGCACTCTATCACTGAGCTACTTTCCCAGCCCCACTTCTGGCTTTTTCTGTGTATGTGGTACTGAGGAATTGAAACCAGGGCTTCATGCATACTAGGCAAGCAAGTTTTGGCTTCTGATTTTTTTTTTTTCCTGGTCCTAGGGTTTGAACTCAGCCTGTGTGCTGTCCTGTCCCCAAGCTTCTTTTTGCTTAAGGCTAGTGCTCTACTACTTGAGGCACAGCTTCACTTCTAGCTTTTTTGGTAGTTTATTGAGATAAGAGTCTTACAGACTTTCCTGCCAGGCTGGCCTTGAAACGTGATCTTCAAATCTCAGTCTCCTGAGTAACTAGGGTTATAGTTACTGGCGACTGACTTTCCTTCGGAATTTATTGTGCAATGATAACACTTTAATTTTTTTTTTTAATTCTGGCAGTACTAAGTCCTCATTCTTGTTATGCAAGTGCTCTACCACTAACCCACAACCCCAGTACTTTTTGTAATTTTTTCAAGACCAGCTGCAGGCTGGTCCTCCTGCATATCTGCTATTTTAGGCATGAGCTGCTGTGCTTGGCTTGTTTGTTCACTGGAGATGTTGGTATCTTTTTGACTAGGCTGACTTTGAACCACAATCCTCCCAATGTCAGCCTCACAAGTAGCTACATGTACCATCTCACCCAGTTCTAATAAAACGTTTTCTTAGAACTCATCTATTTTTGACATGTTTCCATTATTTATATATAAGACCATTTTAATTATTCTTCACATTGTAGCCCAATTGTCAGTTTCACTGAGCAAATTTCCAAACAGTATTTGTGTTCATTTTTAGAGTTGGTTCTTTTATAGATCCTGAATTGTATGATTTTTTTTCCCCATCCTACTTGTTCAGCTAAATTACAACTTCTTTGGGAATTCAAACATCAGAATATCTTGTATATAAACAGTCATATCAACTTTTTCCTTTGCCTTCCTAAATTTTTATTACATACAAAATATAGGCTTATGGAAACATTTATTTAAAATTTTTTAATTGTTATAAAGATGTACAGAAGGGTTACAATCACACAAGTCAGGTAAGGAATACCTTTCTTTTTGGTTAATGTCACCCCCTTCCCTTGTTCTCCCAGTTTTTTCTTTTAGTCCCACCCACAAGTTCTATAGTTTATTTTCAACATTGTATCTAGTGAGTACCACTGCTGCATTTGTTCACCATTTGTCTTTCCATTTCTGTGCTCTTCCCACCTTTCCTAAAACATATTAAACAAGAGGAAAGAAGAAAGCAGGCTGGGCACCCATGGCTCACACCTGTAATCCTAGCTACTCTGGAGGCTGAGATCTGAGCATTGCAGTTCAAAGCCAGCCCTGGCAGGAAAGTTTGTAAGACTCTTATCTCCAATAAACCACCCAGAAAACCAGAAGTGGGTGGGCTGGGAAGGTGGCTCAGTGGTAGAGCACTTGCCTTGTATGCCTGAGGCCCTGGGTTCGATTCCTTAGCACCACATGAACAAAAAGAGAAAAAAGCCGGAAGTGGCGCTGTGGCTCAAGTGGTAGAGCACTAGCCTTGAGCTGAAGAGCTGAGGGACAGTGCCCAGACCCAGAGTTCAGGCCCCACGACTGGACCCCCCCCCCAAAAAAAAAAAAAAAAAAAAAAGAAAGAAAACCAGAAGTGGCTTAAGTGGTAGAGCACTAGCCTTGAGCTGAAGAGCTGAGGGACAGCATTCAGGCCTAGAGTTCAAGCCGCATGACCAACCAAAAAAAAAAGCAAAAATGGCAACAAAGACAATTTTTTTTTTGGGGGGTCAGTCACTAAGCCACCTTCCCAGCTCTCAAGAAAAAACTTTGTAGAAACATTATTGTTGTGACAAGGCAAAACTTAAAATTAACAGTCTTTGAACATTTTCACATGTACATTTTTGTTATTTGTTTTCTAGTTGTCACCATTGACTGAAGAAGAGAAAACTGTGACAGAGCAATTAAAACCTCACATGCCAGATTTATGATGAACTGAAATTTTAAAAGAGAACTCTAATGAAGAAGATAAAATTCCACAGCAAAATGACAACTGGAGGTGGGGTATTAGTAAAGGAGTGGAAGTTTGGCTTGAGTGACAGGAAGGTTTCATAATAAGAGGGGAGGATAAAAAAAGCAAAATAATATATTAATGTATTTCAGCCAAAAGTATTGAATGGGGAAAAATATAAATGTAAACACAAACCCATATGCACAATTTTGTAATTTCAGGTAAGGAAGTTCTGTAATACTATTTTCCATCTATTTATTTTTTAATCTTCACCACTGGTCGTGGGCTTTGAACTCAGGACCTGGGCTCTGTTTCTGGGTTCTTTTGCTGAAGGCTAGCACTCTACCACTTTGAGCCACAGTGTCACTTCTAGTTTTCTGGTGTTAATTGGAGATAAGAATCTCACACTTTCTTGTCTGGGCTGGCTTTGAATTTCAATTCTCAAATCTCAGCCTCCTGAGGATTATAGATGAAGCCACCAGTGCCCAGCTTGTTGTTGTTGTTGTTTTTTTTTTAAATTGGTCATGGGGTCTGAACTCAGTCTAGATGCTATCCCTCAGCTCTTCAGCTCAAGGTATTAAAGGGTAGGCAAAATATTTGTATTACACTTTGTACATGTATACATACAATTTTATCTATGGAAGTGCTGATTGCAGATGGGGCCACATTATTTTGACCACTCAAAATCCAGTTAATATAAAAAATTGGCTTTTGTGTGATAGAATCACTTTTTAAAAAATTTGTTAGTACTGAAAGCTGTGCTCTAGCTCATTTGCTTAAGTCTGATCCTTTAGCACTTGGGCCGTACCTCTATTTCTAGCTTTTTGGTAGTTTATTGGAGGTAAAAGTCTTGTGCACTTTCCAGCCCAGGCTGACTTTGAACAGCAATCCCCAGATCTGAGTTTCCTGAATAGCTAGGATTATCAGCATGAGCCACCAACACCTGGCCTAGGATCACTTTTAGACTTTCCTCTGTTCCTATTCCTGGACAATGTTAAGCAGCATGAACTTACTTTCAAATGCTGCTTTAGACTGTCTTTGTGGTATTTCATAAGTAAATCTGTTTTCTTGCAGCCTGTATTTGTAATTGTTCACTGAAAATGAGAGCTAAGAAACTGAAATCATAGAAGTACTTATCTGCTATTTGCCACTTATTTCTATGTGGAAGTCAATGTCCTCATCCTGTCTGTCTGATCTGTCTAGTGGTACTGGGATAGAGCTCAAGGCCTTTGTCATTGCTAGGGAAATTCTGTACTGGGTTATATCCCCAGTCCTTCAGTTTATTTTAAAATAATTATTGGCAATATGATAATTGTCCAAAGTAGTGACAGATAAGAAAGGATAGCAGTGTAGCTCAATGGTAGAGTCTGTACATAGGCAAAAAAAGGTTAATTCTTCCAAAAAACTCAAAGTGGATTTGTGACTCAAGTGGTAGAGTGCTAATTAGCCTTGAGCTAGTGCCCAAGGCCCAGTTCAAGCCTTTAAGCTCAGGACTGGCATGCACACACTCATGCAAAGTTAATTGTAGGGTTATTTATAATTGTACACATATGGCTAATACGTGAATAGGAAAGTAAATTAAGTCATGTGTCTATAATAAGAGATCAAATAGCCAATAAATTATTAATGCTAATTTTTTGGGAAATACTGAAGCTATGCTGTGTTGGGGAGAAGGGAAGCAGGCAGGTCTTGCTATTTTACTGTTAAAATTGAGCTTTGGAGACATAGTTAAGTATATTTGTCTCCCCTTATCCACAGTGTTGTTTTCCATACTTCATTTACCCAGTTTAATGTAGTCCTAATGTAGTTCACATTGTAGAAATAAGCAATTCCTAAGTTAGGAATCTTAAAATGGTTCTAAGTCTCACGCTATCCTGTGCATGTACACTATCACTCAGCCATCTACATTATTAAACTGACTATTGTAGTACCAAAGTGTTTTTAGTCGAAGTTTTTCAGAAGATAAAATGTACATGAGATTTTACTTTCGTTTTTTGGCAGTACTGAAGATTTAACTCAGGGCCTCATGCTTACTACGCAAGTACTCTTATCTGAGCCACACTAGCCCTTTTAGTGTTTAATTTTGTTTAATTTTATTTCTTATTTATTGTAAAAGTGATGAACAGAGGGGTTACCCTTACATAAAATAAGGAGATGAATACATTTCTTTTTGGACTCTTACCCCCTTCCTCATTATCTGTCATTTTCCTCTCCCCATTCTCTTTTCCCCGCAAGTTATAAAGTTCATTTCCAACTTAGTGTCTAGTGAGTATCATTGTTACATTAGTTCATCCTTTGTCCTGCTGTTTCTGTGATTCCCCTTCCCTTCCTCGGATCAGATAAACAATATACAAGATAAAAGGTACCGCAAACAAAACAAAAACACACACACACAAAAGAGCTATTTTTGAGGTAGGGTCTTGATATATTCCTAGGCTAACCTGGACTGTGGTTCTCTTATTTGTGCTTTTCATGTTACTAGGATAACAGGTACATGCCACCACATCTAGCCATTGGTGGAGATGTCATCTTGTAAACTTTTTTTTTTTTTTTGCCTTGGTTGGCTTTTGAACCAAGATCCCTTTATCTCCACCATCAAGTAGCTAGAATTACAGGCTTGAGCCTTGGCACCTCGAGTTCAAATTTCTTATTAAGATAACTGGCAGTGCCTGAAATGTCTCACAATGGGCTGTCTGTAAGCTGGAGACATAGGTACAACTTTATTCTAATACCAAATATCTAGGAACTCAGACACTGACACTTGCTTGTGCAATTCCTGGAGTCCAAAAGCAGAAAAGCTTGAAGTGAGTGATCAAGCAACAAAACAGTTTATCCCAGTTCTCACAGAGAGATTTGTCTTGTGTATTTGTCTTATCTGGGTCCCCCTGCCAATTAGATAATGCTTACCCCACAATGAGGACTGGTCTTCCCAACTTAGTCCATTTAAACTCAAATTCTAATACCCTCTAGAAATCACCTCAGTCTAGGCATTCTTTAACCTTATGAAGTTTCTACCTAAAATGGACCCTCAAAGCATTGATGCAGTGCTGTAGGGCATACAGGAAAAAAATCTAGTATATTGAATATGGTAGTATATGTCAGAGGCTAAAGCCAGGAATCAAGTATACTGTTTAAGGTCAGCCTGAGCTATGAGACACTGAAAGAAACTAAGAAAAGAGCTGAGGGCTTGTGGCCTATAATCCTGAGGAGGTTTGGACTTGGACAACCTTGCTTTGAAGTCAGACTGGGTAAAAACATCCAAGAGACTCAGCTCCAGTTAACCTGCAGAATGCTAGACTAGAGGTGTGGCTCCAATGGAATAGTGGTAGCCAAGATCAAAAAAGCTAGGCAAGAGTACAAGGTTGCCTCGTGCCAGCATCCTACTGTAATTCTAGCTACTAAAGAGGCAGAGGTCTGAGTGCTACTGCTCAAAGCCAGCCCGGGCAGGAAAGGCTATTAGACTCTTATTTCAAATCACCTACTCAGAAAAAGCCAGAAGTGGCACTGTAACTTAAGTGGTAGAACGTTAGCCTTGAGCACAAACTGGCTCAGGGACAGCACCTAGGACCTGAGTTCAAGCCCCAGGACTGGCAAAAAAAAAAAAAAAAAAGGTACAAGGCTTCAAGTTCAAGCCACCAGTATTTCTTGGGATTAAAAAGCCAATACTGGGCTGGGAAGGGGGCTCAGTGGTAAAGCGCTTGCCTTGCATGCATGAGGCCCTGGGTTCGATTTCTTAGCACCACATAAGCAAAAAGGAAAAAAAGCTGGAAGTGGCGCTGTGGCTCAAGTGGTAGAGCACTAGCCTTGGGATGAAGAGCTGAGGGACAGTGCCCAGGCCCAGAGTTCAGGCCCCACGACCGGACTCCAAAAAAAAAAAAGACATATACTTCCAGAACAGAATATCTCTAAACCCTATTAGAGTAATACATACCTTAAAATTTGAGATACTTTCTTTAGTACTCAGGCAATATTTAAGAAGGTCCTAGTAATGCAATGGCTCTGGGCATTTTTTTGTTGATTGGTAGAAATAAAAAGTAGTATAAAGTGGTCAGGGAAAAAACTAGATTACATTCTTTTTCTCTGATTTTTTTCAGTTTTCTTCTAAATGTTGGCTCTTCCCATGGACTCCCACCCTCCTGCCTCTGTCTTCTGAGTGATAGAACTTCAGCCTCTGTATTTAGTTGTCAATGTGAATTAATTTCATCATTTGGCCTTTGTATAGTTCACATTGATGAAGAGAGACCTATGTTAGGAAAAATTGAATTGGAGTGGGATTGTGATGTCTCTGATAATGTGGGGAACTACATTTTCCAGAATCCATTTCTCTTACAGTTATGTTACAATTTGTCACTAGTCGAACTTGCGTGAGAGTTGGAAGTCAAAGTTGAAGAAGTCCTTAGTTTTTTGTATGCCAGACCTGGGGCTGGAACTCAGGAAATGGGAGAGGTCCCTGAGCTAGCTGGCTCAATGCTGGCACTCTACTACTTGAACCACATCTCTGCTTCCAGCTTTTTGTTGTTTTGTTTTTGAGTTTTAAGAGTCTCAAGACATTACTGCCTAGGCTGGTTTGGAATTGGACCCTCAGATCTCAGCCTCCTGGAGTAGTTAGGATTATAGGCAGGAGCCACTAGCTCCTGGCTGTCAAATCACCCAAACCACATACGTCACTTTAATGTTTTACAGGTCTTGTATTCTACAGATTTCTCTACCAGTTCCCCATGAAATATCTCTCCTTATATGGTATTTTCCTACAAATTTTAATGTATGTTAGGCAGCTGATAAGGTGTTAAATCTGTCATATGCTTGTAATACTCTGATGCCTTAATTCTCCTCTATTGATTGAATTTACACAGGCCAGATTGTTACGGTGAATACCTGGTTCTCAATGCAATCACTGCCCAGTGCAATGATGCTGTCAAAAGCAGAACGTCTTAAGCCTGGCAATCCTAGCTATTCTGGAGGCTGAGATATGAGGATCAGAGTTTGAAGCCAGCCTGGGGAAGGAAAGTCTGTGAGACTCTTACCTGCAGTTAATCACTGGTTCAAGTGGTAGAATGCTAGTCTTGAGCAAAAGGATCTCAGGGACAGTGGATAGGCCCAGAGTTCAAGCCTCAGGACTGGTAGAGCATCTTGAACTCCTGCTTCCTGCATGGGGAGCAGGAAGTGTTTCTTTCTCCTTACCCTAACTGTGCTAAACTAAAATAAATAAATCCTTGGTAAAAACAAAAACCAAAATGTCCCAAAACAATTAGAAGAGAGCATCTGCTGCATTATGCAATGATTGCTCTCACTGTCTTTACATTTGGGAAGATGCACATTCCTTGTGTCTGGAATATTGGTTTCTAATCATTACAGTAATCAGTTCTTTTCAATCACTATTCTCTGGGATTGGTTTCTCCTCAATGTCCATGTTTCTTAGAAATATTTTAATATTTTAAAATAAAGTGTATTCTAAACAAAAAGTGTGGATTCTTCCTTGTCTAATTAAAATTGTTTCTCATATTTTATTTCCCGTCTCTTTGTGGTTGACTCCTAATATAACTTCTGCTAGCTCTAAAACAGTATTTCTAACAAAACCCAAGTACCTGAATACTGAAGTGAAACATGTCCAGAAGATTCCATTTAAAAAAAAAAAACTGATTCTGGGCCTTGAACTCAGGGCCTTATATACTGGTGTTCTACTACTTGAGCCACACCTCCACTTTTGTTTTTTTTGCTGGTTAGAGATAAGAGTCTCAGGATTGAAAGTGTGAGCCACCAGCAACTGTTGATTCTGGTTTTTTGTTTGTTTGTTTTTTGGTTTAGTGCTTGTCCTGAGTCTTGAACTCAGGGTGCAGTCCCTGAGCCTCTTTGCTCAAGGCTCTACCATTTGAGCCATAGCTCCTTTTCGGCTGATTAAAGATAAGAGTCTCATACTATCCTGCCAGGGTTGGTTTTAAATCACAATCCTCAGATCTCTGCCTCCTGGCACGAGAATTCTACTGCTGGCAATAGCCATCAGCTCCTGGCTTGATTCTATACCCTCGATATCCACTCTTGTTAGTTGGAATTGAAACTGATACAACTAATTTCCATCCCTTTATGTTTGTTCAATAAAACTTAAAATTCTCTGAATTAGTCATTAACCTCTAGCTTTCTTAATTAAATTTTTTTTTTGCCTAAATTAAAATCTGAGTGGGCTTACAATAATAAAGCCCCTAGTTGTATAGGTCTTCTAGCCATGAGCTAGTGCAATATTTTCTACATTTTTTTTGGATTCTTGGGCAAATATATAAGAATATTTTGATCTAAATAGTATTTGTGCTATATTGTTGAGTGTAAGGAACTTGTACTTGTGAACTCTTAACAAGGTGAGGTAAAATTCTCGATTTTAATTTTAATTTTTTGACATTCCCTACAGGTACAATCTAGGTTAGGACACGTAAATAGCTGTCAGAAAGGAAAAATAGGATTTCAAGTTAAGAACTTTGTGTTTTTTTTTTCCTTACAACCCTAGATGCTTTCCGTTCTTTCTCTCGCCAGGGCCTGGGCCCTGTCCCTGAGCTTCTGGCTAGTGCCCTTAGAGCCACAGCTTCATTTCCTGTTTTGATAGTTCATTGGAGCTAATAGTTCATTGGGACTAACGGTCTCAGAATTTCTTGCCCTGGCTGGCTTTGAACCGTGATGCCCAGATCTCAGCCTCCTGAGTTAACTAGGATTACTGGGGCCTGGCTTAGCCTAGAGCTTTGGAACTTCATTTATTTCGGTAGACAGAGCGGAACCTTAAAATCTGGGCGTCCCCCTAAAAGAACCAACCAGCCCGGAGTCTCCGATTCCAGGTTTTTATCTCCACGAGGGCAGAGGGCGAGAGGAGCACAGGCTTCGTCCCACTATCTCGGAGTCCGAGTCGGACGGCCGAGGGGTGTGGCTTCCGGGCCCACCTTTCCCCACCGCACGCTAGGTGGCTCCAGACCGTGGCGCGCTAAAATTTGAGGGCTGAGGGGGCCCCGCCCCTCCGCGCTGAGAGTGGGCGAAGCGCCAGGCTCTCGCTGCGGACGCCAGCCGCCCGCCCCGGGCACGCCATCCTGCGGCAACGACTCACCAAGTCTCGTGTGCGCCCCCATCCTGCGGCAACGACTTCAAGTCTCGTGTGCGAGGACCTCTCACCCTCCCCACGGCACCGCGGGATCTAGGCGCCCGCCTCTCTCGTCGCAGCCCCGCCCGCAGCGCCTGGCGCGCATGCGCACCGCGCCTTCCCGGTCGGCTGCCCTGGTTACGGTTGGTGTTTGCGAGTCCTTCGCGGCGCCTTTTGCCGCGACCTGCGCCTCAGGACTCCCGCGGCGGTTCGACCGGCGCGCGTCCGCGTCACGTGGGTCGAAGCTCCCCAGTCGACTCCCGCCGGTGGCTGAGGCGGGAGGAAGGGGCACTGGTACACTGCTCGCCTGGTCCGTGCGCCCCAAGACCGGCGCGCGATTAAAAATGGCGAAATGGGGGTAGCCGGCCTCGAACTTGAAGCGATGGGGCGCGCAGGTGGGGCCGTTGTTGGAGCCCCCTGAGGTGGGCTCCGGGCTGTTCCCGGGCGAGTGGACCTGGCGACCTCGGGCCGTCACTTAATAGGGCCGACCACGGACTCCGCGGGTCGTTACGGGCCCCGCCGAGAGCCGGAGGCAATGGACGAACAGAGTGTGGAGGTGAGAGGCGTTGGGTGGGATGGGGGTGGGGTGCTGCCTTCCCGCCCGCTGGTGAGCGTTGTGTTATTCGGGTCGCCTGGCCCTGGCGCTCCCTCTGGGAAGGAAGCTATAACAGCCTGGGCCCGGTGCTCATTCTGCTGCTTTCCCAGGTCCCTTATTATGCTCAAGACAGTGCTGCATTCAGGTGCTGCGTATTCTGGCGTGTTCAGGGATGTCTTGGCACCTGTACACCTACCATTCTGTATTTGCAACTAGCCTTTGTAGACTAAAACTGCAGATTCATCAGATGGACGGAGCCCTGCTATTTCCACCTCCTACAAGTGCCTGTGAGGATCCCAATCTCTATGGGACTGGATAATAATCTTAACTCTCAGCGCTGCGTTTTGCAGGCGTCTTCAGTCCATTCCAGATTGAATGAGGGCACACAAGCTCGAACTGCCTTATTCGGCTGTAGTTTCCAAGATAAAACTGCGCTTTCTCCCTTTCTCCCTCTCTTTCTACCTCTCCCTCTCCCTCACCCTCTCCTTCCCTCCTTCTTTCCCTCTCTCCCTCTCCCCCTCTCTCCTCCCCACCCCCCACTGTCCCTCTCTCCCCCTCCCTCTCCCTCTCCCTCTCCCTTTCTCTTCTCTCTCCCCTCCTCTTTGTCTCTGTCTCATTTTGGTCATGGGGCTTGAACTCTGTGGGTGGGCCTGGGCACCCTCCCTCAGCTCTTCAGCTCAAGATTAGTCCTGTACCACTTGAGACACAGAGAAGACTTTTCTGCACCAGCTTGGCTTTGAACCACAATCCTCTGATTTCAGCTAGGATTACAGGCGTAAGCCACCAGCACCCGGCTTTTTTTCTTTTTCCTCTTTCCTTCCCCCCCCCATTTTTTTTTTGAGACAAGGTTTCAGCTATGTCCAGGCTGGTATGGAACTCTTCTGTCTCTGGTTTTTCTTTTTTTGTTTGTTTGTTTTTTGCTGGTCGTGGGGCCTGAACTCTGGGCCTAGGTGCTGTTCCTCAGCTCTTCAGCTCAAGGCTAACACTTTACCCCTTGAGCCTCAGTGCCAAAAACTTCCAGCTTTTTCTGCTTATGTGGTGCTGAGGAATCGAACCCAAGGCCTCATGTATACAAGGTGAGTACCACTGAGCCACCTTCCCAGCCCGTCTCAGTTTTTTGTTTTTGTTTTTTGGCGGTCCTGGGGCTTGAACTCAAAGCCTGAGCTCTGTACCTGAGCTTCTCTGTGCTCAAGGCTAGTGCTCTACCACTTGAGCCACAACACTACTTCCACCTTTTTCTGTTTATGTGATACTGAGGAATTGAACCCAGGGCTTCGTATATGCTAGGCAAGCACTCTACCATTAGGCCACATTCCCAGCTCCATCTTTATCTTTTAAGTGCTGAATTATAGGAATATACCACAAACACCTGGCATGTCTGACTATTACAAAGTGATTTCACGTAGTTTATTTCCCTAAAGGCTAGGAACATCAAGAAAGATTGATTATCGGATATAATTATGTGATGATTGTTCAATTTTGTGTTCCCAATACTAAAATCTTGCTTTTTTATTTATTTATTGTTATTAATTTTTTTTGGTCAGTTGTGGGGCCTGAAATTTGGGCCTGGGTACTGTCCCTCAGCTCTTCAGCTCAAGGCTAACACTCTACCACTTGAGCCACAGCGCCACTTTGGGCTTTTTCTGCTTATGTGGTACTGAGGAATTGAATCCAGGGCCTCATGCATGCAAGGCAAGCACTCTACCATTGAACCACCTTCCCAGCCTAAAATCTTGCTTTTTAACTAAGAATTTAGTCTAAAAGAGCATTGTACTTGAAACTAGCTAATTCAAAGGTCTTATTGTGGGCTGGGAATGTGGCTTAGTGGTAAAGTGCATGCCTAGCATGCATGATCCCTCAGTTCGATTCCCAAGTACCACAAAAAGCCGGAAGTGCTGCTGTGGCTCAAGTGATAGAGTGCTAGCCTTGAGCAAAAGAAGCTCAGGGACAGTGCCGAGGCCCTGAGTTCAAGCCCCAGAACTGCTCCTTCCCCCTCCAAGAAAAAAAAAGTCTTAATGTCCATCCTCCATCTCACAGATTCTGGCCCTCCCGATAGTCATGAGTAAATTTCTCACTTCCTCCTGTGGAAGTATTACAAAGGTTTTGTAAGGTTTCCCCGGTTTTAGGAGGGTTTCCTTCTGGAATGAAGTACAGTATAATAGTACATTTTTAGGTATTGTCCAGTTTTTTTTTTTTTTCTTTTTTCTTTTTTTGGCAGTGGTGAGGCTTGCACTCTGGGCCTGGGCACTGTCCTTCAGCTCTTCAGCTCAAGGCAACTGCTCTACCACTTAAGCCACAGCACCACTTTCGGTTTTCTGGTGGCTTATTGGAGATAAGAGTCTCATGAACTTTCTTGCCTGGGCTGGCTTTGAACTGTGATCCTCAGACCTCAGCCTCCTGAGTAGCTAGGATTACAGGCATGAGAAACCGGCTTCCTTAAAAAGAATCTCAAGGATTTTTCTGCCTGGGTTGGTTCCCCTAGATCTCAGCTTCCTGAGTAGCTACGATTAGGCGTGAACCTCTGGCACCGAGCTTTAGCATGCTTTTTATTCTTGCTTGGTGGTCTAATCTGAGATCCATTTATTATTTTCAGAGCATTGCTGAGGTTTTCCGATGTTTTATTTGCATGGAGAAATTGCGGGATGCTCGCTTGTGTCCTCATTGTTCCAAGCTTTGTTGCTTCAGCTGTATTAGGGTAAGTTGTATTTCTTTTTGCACGCGTTTAAGTTTATATATGGCATATTACAAGTATTAACCATTTCCTTTTTCTTACTGTTTTTTCTTAATTTCTTTGTTTTGTGTCCTTTAAAAAAAAAGTCTCTTAAATGAAGGTGTCTTAATAGACCATCAATTTGTATTGCTTAGTACTGTGAGAATGAATAAATAGGAAGTGATAACTGAAGTGATATGTCTGAAGATAGGTAAGTGCCTCTGGAAACAGGTCATTGTAATTTTAGTATTTACATGGTTAGATTCATTATACATTGAGCAAACACTTATCAAATAAGGTAAAAAACAAATGAACTTTACTGTTTATATTGAAAAATATGTGTATCATAAGGAGGCAAGAAAAATACAGGGCTCAGAAGGGAGAGTTCAGATATGTTTGATAGGAAAGATGGAGAATAATCAGGTAATGGATTTAGAGGTAAATAAAATCCGATGATGGCACAGTTACAAGTGACAGTAGAGATGATTTTGTCTAGTGACTTTAAAATTGAATGTAAATGAATATCTGGAAGAAAATTATAAAGAAGTACAAGATTTAAAACAGAAGAGTGTATTTTGATTATGTGGTCTATGTAAGACCATAATTGAAAACTTCCCTGCTCCCATTAATATATATAATACAATGAGGGAACCAAAGCCTTCCAACATGCACTTCACCTCAAAGTTTGTTACCTTATTCTGGCTAAAAAAGGTATATATCCCTTTGTCAAGAGTACTATCTGGTTGGGCACTGGTGGCTTATGCCTGTTATCCTAGCTACTTAAAAGGCTGAGATTTGAGGATTGGGGTTCAAAGCTAGCTGGTGCAAGACAGTCTGTGAGCCTCTTATTTCCAATTAACTACCAAAAAGCTGGTATGGTTGTAGCTCAAAGTGGTAGAGTACTAGCCTTGAGTACAAAAACTCAGAGACAGTGCTCAAGCTCTGAGTTCAAGGCCCAAAAATGGCACACAAACACAAAGGAGTGTTTTGGGTTTTTTTGTTGGTCCTGGGGCTCGAACTCTGGGCCTGGGCACTGTCCCTGAGCTCTTCAGCTCAAGGCTAGCGCTCTACCACTTGAGCTGTAGCTCCACTTCCAGCTTTTTCTGCTTATATAGTGCTGAGGAGTCTAACCCAGGGCCTCATGCATGCAAGGCAAGCACTCTACTTCTGAGCTACCTTCCCAGCCAAAAGAGTGATATTTGTAATAGTTTTCTTCAAGTTTCAGAGCTAGTGAATAGTGGAGCTGGGATTAAAAATCTAGTAAATCTCCTTGAGCCCACATTCTTTGCCACTATAACATATTAGTTAGTTCTCACACTAAAAGAAGACATTCTTTCCTAGCTTTGTTTCCTTAGCTATTGAATTCAGATAATGCACTCTGCAACACAGATAGTTAGATATTAAGTGAACCTCAAAGAAATTCAGAAATTGTAAAGTATTATAAAATTATGTTATTCTTGTTTGTTTTTGTTTTTGATAGGGCTTGAACTCTGGGCCTGGGTACTGTCCCTGAGCTCTTAGCTCAAGGAGAGCACTCTACCACTTGAGCCACAGTGACATTTCCAGTTTTCTGATGGTCAACTGGAGATAAAGAGGCTCAAGGACTTTACTGCCTAGGCTGGCTTTGAACTGTGATCCTCAGATCTCAGCCTCCTGAGTAGGATTACGGTGTGAGCCACCAGCACCTGGCTTATAATGTTACTTTTAATTGTTAAAATATCAACAATACACATAGTATATATCTACATATTATAGACGATGGAACTGAAGCTACAGGGATTAGGTAATTGGCCTCCATTGTTATAGTTGGTTAATTAGTCGAGTCTGGTTGTTTGGTTGAAAGTCTTATATGCTGGATGAAGGTCTCCCTCAGTTTATTTTTTTTTTGGTCAGTCATGGGGTTTGAACTCAGGGCCTTGGAATTGTCCCTGAACTTTTTTTTTCCCCCATAAAGCCAAAACACCTTATCTTTTATTGCAATCAAGTCTGGTCATAGTAAAAAATGGGACTTTCAGTTGTAATACTCTCAGAGATTTGGACAATTTCTGCCAATGCAATGGTATGTTTCTGTACATTCAGGCCTTTGCTCTCTGTGCTTGTCCTTCTCTCTGCCAGTCCTGTTCAACTTACCCTATCCTTCCTGGTACGTGGGCAGGAGCCCAGCCCTGACAAATCATGTAAGAGACCGGAGCCTCTCCCTGAACCTGACATTCCCTCTGTTAGGCATTGAGAACTCTGTTCCTCCTCCCTATGTTAAACCTTTTGGGCCTTCTCCTTCCACTGTGTCTCCTTACTCACCTCTAGAGGCTCACACCTGATCCCATACTGAGCTTTTTTCGCTCAAGGCTAGTGCTCCACCACTTTGAGCCACAGTACCACTTCTGGTTTTCTAGTGGTTAACTGGAGATAAGAGTCTCACAAACTTTCCTACCTGGGCTGGGGCTAGCTTTTAACTGTGCTTTTCAGATTTCAACCTCCTGAGAAGCTAGACTTACAGGCTTAAGCCACTGGTGCCTGGCTTTCTCCAGTCTTTCTCCTTTTTTTTTTTTAATCAATTTTTTTTTTTTTTTTGGGTCCAGTTGTGGGCCTGAACTCTGGGCCTGGGCGCTGTCCCTCAGCTCTTCAGCTCAAGGCTAGCGCTCTACCACTTGAGCCACAGCGCCACTTCCGGCTTTTTTCTTTTTGCTATGTGGTGCTGAGGAATCGAACCCAGGGCCTCATGCATGCAAGGCAAGTGCTCTACCACTGAGCCACCTTCCCAGCCCTCTCCTTTTTTTTTCTTGACCTTATTACTATTATTTTTTGTCGGTCTTGGGGCTTGAACTCTGGGCCTGAGTGTTGTCCCTCAGCTATTCAGCTCAAGGCTAGCACTCTACCACTTGAGCTACAACGCCACTTCCTTTTTTTTGTCGTGGTTTATTGGAGATAAGATTTTCACGGACTTAACTGCCTGGACTGGCTTTGAACTGAGATCCTCATATCTCAGCCTCCTGAGTAACAGGATTATACGCGTGAGGCACCAGTGCCAGGCTTTGACCTTGTTGTTGTTGTTGTTTTTTAACATTGGTTCACACTTAATACACTAACCTATAATTGTTGAGTTTACTTTGTATTTTGCCAACCATTAAAAAATTTTTTTTAGTTGTAAAGATACTGTGCCAAGGGGTTACAGTTTCATGAGCAAGTTACATTTCATATCGAGCATTGTTACTTCCTCCTTTGTTTTTCCCCTACTATCCCTTCCCTCCCCATGCTAGCCATTTTTTTTATTAGGTATAATTGAGAGACTGTAAACTAGGTATATTTAAAGTGTATTGCTTGCTTTTTCCCCCAGTTGTGTAAGTTTGACATAGTATATCCTACTGTCAAGATAAGGAACATACAAAGTTTGCTTAGGCCCTCTTCCTTGCTTGCCTTGTTCCTAGGAAACTAGTGATACACTTTCGGTGCTGTTGCTTAAGTATGAATTGTCTGGAATTTACACAAATGGAATCATGCAGTATGTATTGTTATGTGTTTGGCTTTTTTCACTCAGCAAAACTATTTTGAGATTTATCTATGTTGTGTATATTGGTAGTATTCCTTCATATTGCAAAGTAGATTTTTCTGAATGCTTTAGTAGTAGTGTTTGTCTTTCCATTCATATATTAATAATGGGTATATGGCCAGGTGCTGGTGCCTCATGCCTGTAATCCTAGCTACTTATGAGGCTAAGATCTGAGGATCACGGTTCATAGCATCAAAGCCAGCCCAGGCAGGAAAGTCCCTGAGACTCTTATCTCTAATCTACTTCCAGAAAACTAGAAGTAGCACTGTGGCTCAATTGGTAGAGTGCTGTCCTTGAGCTGAAGAGCTGAGGGACAGTGCTCAGGTTCAGAGTTCGAGCCCCACAACCAACACACAAAAGTAATGGTTATATGGCCTGGCCATGCCTGTAAGTAATCCTAGCTACTCAGGAGGCTGAATTGGGAGGATTGCAGTTTGAAGCTGGCCAAGACAAAAGACCACGAGACTCAATTCCATTGCTTTCTTTTTTTTTTTTTTTTTGGTCGTGAGGCCTGAACCCTGGGTCTGGGCACTGTCCCTCAGCTCTTCAGCTCACAGTTAGTACTCTACCACTTGAGCCACAGCGCCACTTCCAGCTTTTTCTATTTATGTAGTGCTGAGGAATTGAACCCAGGGACTCATGCATGTGAGGCAAGCTACCACTGAGCCACCTTCCCAGCCCTTCCATTGCTTTTAACCAGCCAAAAGTCTGTGTTTGAGGTGTGGCCTAAGTGATAGAGTACTAGCTCTATCATTTGCTTAGCAAACTGAGCAAATGAAAGGTTCAGAGTTCAGTATCAGCCTAAATAACCAAATAAAAAGACATGGGCATCAGAAACTGTTAGAAACATTTATATGTAAGTCTTTGAAAGCACTGAAGCTTTCTGTATGTATGTGTGGTACTGGGGTTTGAACTCAGAGCCTCTTGCTTTTTAGACAGCTGCTCTACCACTAACTTCTGCCTCCAGCCCTGAAGCTTTTTTTCTTGGGTAATTAGGAAGGGATTGGCTAGGTCACATGGTAAACGTGTTTTAACTTGTTAAAAATTGCCAATTTTTTTGACAATAGTCGTACCATTTTACATTCTTTTCTTTTCTTCTTTTTTTTAACCAGTCCTTGAGCTTGAACTCAGGGCTTGGGCACTGTCCCTGAGCTGCTTTTGCTCAAGGAAGGCTAGCACTCTACCACTTGAGCCACAGTGCCACTTCCAGCTTTTTCTGTTTATGTGGTCCTGAGGAACTGAACCCAGGGCTTCATGCATGCTAGGCAAGCACTCTACCACTAAGCCACATTCCCAGCCGATTTTACATTCTTATCAGCAGTGTGTGAGTGTTCCATTTCTTCTCTTTCTTTGGGTGTTTGGTTGTTTTTTTTTGGTCAGTCTTGGGGCTTGAACTCTGGTCTGTCCTGGGTGCTATCCCTTAGTGCTTCAGCTTAAGACAAGCACTCTACCATTTGAGCCACAGTGTTACTTTAGTTTTCTGAGTGATTTATTGGAGATAAGAGTCTCACAGGCTTTCTTGCCAGGGCTGGCTTTGAACTGCAATCTTCAGATCTCAGGCTCCTGAGTAGCTAGGATTATAAGTGTGAGCTACCAATACCCAGCTGTTTGTTTTTTTGAATTTATATTCTCATAGCTATATAGTGACATCTGATTATAGTGTTAGTACTTCTTTGATGAGATATTATCCTTTCCAGGGTTTGCTGTCCATGTATTGTCTTTGATAAGGGGACTGTGCAAATACTCTATTACCCTCCCCCCATGTGGCAAAGGCAAAATAAATTATTACAAGGTTTGTCATTTTCATTGCTTTGTACACCGGAGTGTTTACATTCATGATGTACCCCATACCACTATTTTCAAAGCTTTTTTGTTGCCTCAAAGAGGATGTCTGTACCCACGAAATAGTAATTCCATTTCTCCCTTTTCCCCCAGTCATTGGTCACCTCAAATCTACTTTTTGTCCCTATGAATTTACTTACTCTAGATATTTCATGGGAGTGAAATCATACAATATTTCTCTTCTGTGTTGGTCTTAGTTAACTTAGCGAAACATTTTCAAAAATATAGTATATGTAGCATATATCAGGACTTCTTTGTTTTTGTGCTAAATGTTTCTCTGAAAGTATATATTTCTTCTTTTTTTTTGTCTCTTGAAGCACATTTAATTGTTTTTTTCTTTAGTCTTTGTGAGTGGTACTGCTGTTCACAAGTGTACAGATACATGTTTTAAGTGCTTACATTCACTTTTTGTTTTTTGGAGACAAGGTCTCACAATAAAGCCCAAGCTGGGCTCAAACTCTGTTCCTGCATCTCCTTTTCATGCTTATATTACAGGCATGTGCCACAATACCTGGTTCACTTTGACTTTTTTTTTTTTTTGCAGAAGGGCGAGGGGAGAAGGTGGTTAGGAAGGGTTACTACTTGCTAAACAATTGGTCTAGCATTTGGTCCACATCTCTAGTCTTTCCTTCTTTTTTTTTCCCTGATACTGGGGCTTGCACTTAGGGCCTCAGAGCTTTTTCCACTCAAAGCTGATATTATCACTTGAGACACTTCCATTTCTGGCTTTTATTGGAGATCATTTTCATTTGAACTTTTCTCCAGAGCTGGTTTAAAACCACAATCTTCAGATCTCAGCCTCCCAAGTAGCTAGGATTACAGATATGAACCACCATTACTGTCTCCAATCTAGTAGTTATTTAAAGAATTAACTTAAGCCAGGCACCGATGGCTCACACCTGTAATACTAGCTATTTGGGAGGCTGAGATCTGAAAGATTGCATTTTTTGGGGGGGGACGGGGGCCTGGGGTCCGGTTGTGGGGCCTGAACTCTGGGCCTGGGCACTGTCCCTCAACTCTTCAGCTCAAGGCTAGCACTCTACCACTTGAGCCACAGTGCCACTTCCGGCTTTTTTCTTTCTGCTTATGTGGTGCTGAGGAATTGAACCCAGGGCCTTAGGCATGCAAGGCAAGCACTCTACCACTGAGCCACCCCTGAGGCTCACATCTTAAAGCCAGCATGGGCTGTGAGACTCTTAGCTCCAGTAAACCACCAGAAAAAACAGAGGTGGCACTGTGGCTCCAGTGGTAGAGCGCTAGCCTTGAGCACAGAGAGGCTTAAGGACGATGCCTAGGCCCTCAGTTCAAGCCCCACAACTGACAAAAACAAAAACAAAACCATACAGAGGAGTTCCCATTATAAAATTCTTTTTTCTTTTTGTTGTTGTTTGTTTGGTCCTGGGGCTTGAAAGCTGAGCCTGGGCGCTGTCCCTTAGCATTTCAGCTCAAGACTATAGCGCTCTACTGCTCTACTACTTGAGCCACAGTGCCACTTTTGGTTTTTTGGTTTATGCCAGTGGCTGGCATAAAATTGTTTTAAGAATTAGAAAAAGGGAGCCGGGCCCAGGTGGCTCATGCCTGTAATCCTAGCTACTCAGGAGGCTGAGATGTGAGGATTGTGGTTCAAAGCCAGCTCGGCAGGAAAGTCTGTGAGACTCTTATCTCCAATAAACCACTAGAAAACCGGAAGTGGCGCTGTGACTCAAGTAGTAGAGCGCTTGCCTTGAGCTGAAGAGAGCAGGGACAGCGTCCAAGCCCAGAGTTCAAGCCCCACAGGCGACAAAAAAAAAAAAAAAAAGAATTAGAAAAAGGGCCCTGGGGCTGGGAAGGTGGCTCAGTGGTAGAGCACTTGCCTTGCATGTATGAGGCCCTGGGTTCGATTCCTCAGCACCACATAAGCAAAAAGAAAAAAAAAGCCGGAAGTGGCGCTGTGGCTCAAGTGGTAGAGCGCTAGCCTTGAGCTGAAGAGCTGAGGGACAGCGCCCAGGCCCAGAGTTCTGGCCCCACAACCGGACCCAAAAAAAAAAAAAAGGGCCTGGAATGTGGCTCAGTGGTAGAGTGCTTGCATAGCATGCATGAAGCCATGGGTTTGATTCCTCAGTCCCACATACACAGAAAAAGTCCGAAGTGGTGCTGTGGCTCAAGTGGTAGAGTGTTAACCTTGAGTGAAAGTAGCTAAGGTACAGTGTTCAGGTCCTGAGTTCAAGCCCTAGGACTGTCAAGAAAAAAAATTAGAAAAAGTTGTTGTTTTTCTTCTTCTTCCTTTTTGTTTTGTTGGGCATGGGCTTGAACTCAGCTGGGGTGGTATTGGAGATAAGAGTCTCAGACTTTCCTTCCCTGGGCTGGCTTTGAACTATGATCCTCAGATCTCAGCCTCCTGAGTAGCTAAGATTATAAGGGTAAGCCACCAGCGCCTGGCTCTTTATCTTATTTCTTTCTTTTTTTTTTTTTTGCGGGGGGTGGGGGGGTGGGGGGGGTGGGGTGGGGGGCTGGGGTGGGGGGCGGGGGAGGTCGTGGAGCCTGAACTCTGGGCCTGGGCGCTGTCCCTCAGCTCTTTAGCTCAAGGCTAGCACTCTGCCACTTGAGCCACAGTACCACTTCTGGCTTTTTTCTTTTTGCTTATGTGGTGCTGAGGAATCGAACCCAGGGCCTCATGCATGCAAGGCAAGCACTCTACCACTGAGCCACTTTCCCAGCCCCTTGTTTTTATCTTTATTAGAGAGTTTTATATGCCTGTAATAGACCAAAAGTAAATAAGCAGAGTCATCAGGTTCATTTGTATGATTTCTTTGATTTCTCAATTTTTTTTTTTTTTTTTTTGTCGGTCTTGGGGCTTGAACTCTGGGCCTGAGCGCTGTCCCTCAGCTCTTCAGCTCAAGGCAAGCGCTCTACCACTGAGCCACCTTCCCAGCCCCCTTTTTCTTATTCTTAAGTCTGATTTGTATATATATTAGAACTAGTTGCTTATCAAAAAAAAATTAAGTAGAATCTTAAGTTTAGAAATTTTGTAGATTAGATAGAAATATATCATTGCTATGGCTTATTTTTGAGGGGATAGTAACAGTATAATTTTTGTGAATGTTACATCTTCCTTGTGAAACCCAGTTTGAGAATTACTCTTTTCCTGTGGGAGAGTACCTTCTTGACAATTTTGGGATAACTTGAATCTTTTAAAAGTTTGTTCTTGTGATGATACAAGATGATAGATTACTTGTTACTAATGTATTTGTAAAATTAAATTAAAAAATTTTTTGTACTAGAGTTAAACTCATTAAGTTTGGTTTATTAATAAATAGAAATTAAAGTAATTGTGTTTTTACAGTAAAAATATAGTTCTTTTACCTTCTTAGCGCTGGCTGACAGAACAGAGAGCTCAATGTCCTCATTGCCGGTAAGTGTTTTGCTACAATTACTTGTGTATTTGGAAAATAATAAGTCCATAGAGTCAGAGTATGCCCTAGAATTCATAAAGGCAAGTTTGTTTCCTGCAAGTTGTCACATTTCTTTCTTTTTTTTTTTTTGTTTCATTTTTGTTTTGTTTTGGACTTAACAGCAATTGGCAAAAATCAGTTATCTTGGAGGCAAAACTACCTCTTCTAATTATGGCAGACTGGAGAAAGGGCCTCCCCTGGGAAGTACAGAATTCACATTGTGGGCACTGTCTGCTAAAATGAACACCACACATTTTACTATGACTATGGTTGAATAGAATGTGATTTATTTTATTATTTTTTTTTTTATGTGGATTGTGGGGCTTGAACTCTTGACCTGGGCACTGTCTCTCAGTTTTTCAGCTCTAGGCAGGTGCTCTACCAGTTGAGCCACAGCGCCACTTCCAGCTTTTTTTTTTCTGCTTATGTGGTGCTGAGGAATCGAACCCAGGGCCTCAGGCATGCAAGGCAAGCGCTCTACCACTGAGCCACCTTTCCAGTCCAAGATAAGAGTCTTATAGAATTTCTTGCCCCGGGTGGCTTTGAACTGTGATCCTCAGATCTCAGCCTCCTGAGTAGCTAGGATTACAGGCTTGAGCCAGAGATACGTTTCTATAAAAAGAAATGGGAAGAGTTAGGTTTATATGTAGATGGATTCCATTGTTTGCCCTTTCTCTTACTTAGAGCTTCTTAGCTTTTTGTTGTTGTTGGTGGTGGTGGTGGCGGTGGTTATGATGTTTGAACTCTGGGCCTGGGCATTGTTCCTTAGCTCTTCAGCTCAAGGCTCTTGAGCCACAGAGACACTTCTGGTTTTCTGGTGGTTTATTGGAGATAAGAGTCCACAGACTTTTCTGCCTGGGCTGGCTTTGAAATGCAATCCTCAGATTTCAGACTTCTGAGTAGCTAGTATTATAGGCATGAGCCACCGTTGCCTGGCTTGTTTCTTAGCTTTTATAATGTAAACAAAAATAAATGTAAGACCTTCTGGCTTAAAAATCCCATTGGGGATAAAGTAAAAAGGCTTTTATCTCTAATTTTTCCTATCTTATGAAAAAATAACATTCAAAAGAAATTGTTAGGGCTGGGAAGGTGGCTCAGTGTAGAGTGCCTCCTTGCATGCATGAGGCCGTGGGTTCAATTCCTCAGCACCACTTAATCAGAAAAAAAAAGCTGGAAGTGGCACTGTGGCTCAAGTGGTAGAGTGCTAGCCTTGAGCTGAAGAGCTGAGGGACAGTCCCCAGGCCCAGAGTTCAGGCCCACAACTGACCAAAAAAAGAAAAAAAGAAATTGTTAGGCATGGTATTTATTCTACTCACTTTTGAACTCTGGGCCTGGGTGCTGTCTCTCAGCTCTTCAGCTCAAGGCTAGCATTCTACCACTGGAGCATCAGCACCAATTTTAGCTTTTTCTGTTTATTTGGTTCTAAGGAATCGAACCCAGGGCCTCATGCATGCAAGGCAAGCACTCTACCACTGAGCCACTCTCCCAGCCCTACATAGTGCTTTTTAAAAATAATTAACAATCCTCTGTATAACTATACTTTATGCCTACATTGAAAGACATTTAGTTTCATGTTAATGCCAGAGTGCTATCTTCTTCCCACTTTTTTTCATGTATTGTTTACTTTCCTCACATTGGCCTGTGAGATCAGAACAGTTAAATAGAATTTTCTATAATGAAGAGAATAGTTTGTGTCAACACAGCCCATGATGGTATCCACTAACTACATGTGATATTGAACACTTGAAATGTGACTATAATTAAACTTTATTTTATTTAACTTAAGTGAGATATGATCTTTTTATGTAGCCCAGTCTGGTCTTGAACTTGTAATCCTTCTGTCTCACAGCTTCCTAGGTGCTGAGATTATCAGCATGCACTGTCCTGCTTACCTTAAACTTTAAAAACAAGTTTGTTCGTTTTTTTTTAATTAAAATAGTCATATGTGGCTAGCGGTACTGGGGATTAAGTCCAGGTGTGTTTTTCATTTTTTTTTTTTTCTCTAAGCCTGGGACTTGAAACGGGCCTTGTGCTCTGTACCTGAATTCTTTTTGTGTGCTGGTCCAGGGGCTTGAACTCAGGGCTTGGCACTGTCTCTGAACCTGAATTACTTTTGCTTAAGGCTAGCACTCTACCACTTGAACTACAGCTTACTTCTGACATTTTGGTGCTTAATTGAATATGAAAGTCTCATTGATTTTCCTGCCCAGTCTGGGTTGGAACCGAGATCTTTGAATCTCAGCCTCCTGAGTAGCTATGTAGTATAAGACACCAGTGCCTGGCCCAGGTGTGCATTTGATTATGAGCAGTATTTCCACCCCTGTGGCTAGCTTTTTTTTTTTTTAATTGTGAAAATACCGTACAGAGGGGTTACAATTACATGGGCAAGGTAATGAGTGCATTTCTTATCAAGCATTGCTACCTCCTCCTTTCCTCCTTTATTTCCCTTTTTTTTTTTTTGTTTGCTGGTCATGGGGCCTGAACTGTGGGCCTGGGCACTGTCCCTCAGCTCTTCATCTCAAGGCTGGCAGTCTACCACTTGAGCCATAGCTCAACTTCCAGCTTTTTCTGCTTATGTGGTGCTGAGGAATGGAACCCAGGGCCTCATGCATGCAAGGCAAGCACTTTATCACTGAGACACCTTCCCAGCCCGTGGCTAGCTTTTTGAACATTATAATTTTAGTCTAAGGAGTTGAGAATTTGGTCTATAATCTCAATTATTAGTATTTTTTGGGGGGTAAATGTAAAAATATGTTGTAAAGTATACTTTTATTGTTTTTATTTTCTTCTTTTCTTAAATCTGTCCTGGGCTTTAACTCAGGGCCTTTGTACTGTCCCTGAGCTTCTTTTGCTGTGGGCTAGCACTCTACCACTTGAGTCACAGTGCCACTTCTGGCCTTTTCTGTCTATGTAGTACTGAGGAATCGAACCCAGAGCTTCATGAATGCTAGGCAAGCACTCTACAGCTAAGCCACATTCCCAGCCCTTATTTTCTTCTTTTGAGGCAAGAACTCAGGCTAGCCTAAAACTTGAGATAGATAGATAGATAGATACACAGACACACATTTCAAGCTAGCTTTGAATTTACTATTCTCCTGCCTTAGCCTTTTTAGTGGGATTCCTGGTATGTGCTTCTGTGCCTAGCTTTTCTTGATGTTATTTTATTTTTTAGGGCTGGCTCTGGGGCTTGAACTCAGGGCTTGGCCCGTCTCTGAGTTTTTTGGTCAAACCTAGTGCTCTACCACTTGAGCCACAGCTTCACTTCTGGCTTTTTGGTGGTTAATTGGAGATAAGATTCTCGTGGATATTCCTGCCTGGACTGGTTTCAAACCAAGATCCTCCTGAATAGCTAGGACTATAGGTGTGAAACATTGATACCCAACTCTTGTTATTTAAATAATATTGTTAAGTGAGTGTGATGTGAGCTTTATATTGAAGAATGTGTGTTTTCACAAAATCTCAAATAGCCGGGCGCCAGTGGCTCACATTTGTAATCTTAGCTACTCAGGCGGCTGAGATCTGAGGATAGCGGTTCAAAGCCAGCCCGGGCAGGAGAGACCGTGAGACTCCTATCTCCAATAAACCACTAGAAAACTGGAAGTGGTGCTGTGGCTCAAGTGGTAGAGCGCTCGCCTTGAGCTGAAGAGCTGAGGGACAGCGCCCAAGCCCAGAGTTCAAGTTCCATGACCAACCAAAAAAAAAACAAAAAAACCCTCAAATTTCTGAGTGAGAATATGTATATATATTTTTCCCAGTGCTCCACTTCAGCTCCGAGAACTAGTAAACTGTCGTTGGGCAGAAGAAGTAACACAACAGCTTGATACTCTACAACTCTGCAGCCTCACCAAACATGAAGAAAATGAAAAGGACAAGTATGTTATCAATATTCTTTATTCAGCATTTAATAGTTTGTGCCATTTGCTGTTTTGGTTTCATATACACGCACAAATATAATCACTCTGTGTGTGTGTGTGTGTGTGTGTATGGCATGTGCGTGTGTGTGCACAGGACATTGAACTACTAAGCCCTAATTTTACTATGTTGGTAGATCTCTTTTAGTTATTTATATTTGTCTGATGCTTCTGTTAATATTTAAAATGATTGATTATTGCCATGTTTATTAAATGTTTTAATAAAATAAATATATTTAATATAAATATTTAAATTAAATCAAACAATTGATATTCAGTATAAACATTAAACAAATAGTTGATATTAAATTAGATTAATATTAAGTGTTTAATGAAATACTGTTATGAAATACTTATTTCATGCTGTGTATATGCACATGCATAAAGAAAGTATTAATGCTAAATTATGGGGATACAATGACAAGATCTTTTGTCTGTTTACCTATTTAAGGGAATTCAATAACAATACAGTGTTAACTTAATGTTTGAGATTGCCATGGGAGCAGGATCTCTTCAGGATAGGAATGAATGAATGTCTTAGGTTACATGATTTATTAACATGTTTTAATAGTGCAAAGGAATTTCTTTGTGATTTTCCATAAATGCATACAGTGTACCCCAGGCTAGCCTCAAATTCTCCACCCTTCTGTCTCATCTTCCTGAGTTTGTGATTATAGGTGTATACCACTACACTTGCCTCAGTCTTTATAATCTCACTTAAACTCAATTACCTCATTAGGCCCCTGTTCAAATATAGTCATATTTGTTAGGCAAGCACTCTACCACTAAGCCACCTTCCCAGCCCCAAATATAATCATATTTGTAAGTTAAGGCTTTAACATATTAATTTTATAGTAGGTATGATTTACTCCATAATAGTTAAACTTCAGGGGCTGGGAAGGTGGCTCAGTGATAGAGCGCTTGCCTTGCATGCATGAGGCCCTGGGTTCAATTCCTCAGCACCACATAAGCAAAAAGAAAAAAGCTGGAAGTGGCGCTGTGGCTCAAGTTGTAGAGTGCTAGCCTTGAGCTGAAGAGCTGAGGGAAAGTGCCAAACCCAGAGTCCAGGCCCCACGATCGGACCCCCCCCCCCCCCAAAAAAAAAAAAAGTAAAAGAGTTAAACTTGATTGTTTTGTCTGTGGCTATCCGATTTAAGAGAAAACTTAAAATTCAGTGTTTGTGCCAGCTGCTAGTGGCTCAGGCCTGTAATCCTTGCTTCTCAGGAGGCTGAGATCTGAAGATTGCCCGTTGAAAGCCAGGCTGAGTAGGAATATCTTTGAGACTTGTATCTCCAGTTAACCATCAGAAAACCAGAAGAGGTGCTGTTCCTCAAGTGGTAGAGCACTTGCCTTGAACTGAAGGAGCTCAGGGACAGCACCCAGGCCCAGAGTTCAAGCCCTATAACTAATAAAAGTTTTTTAAAAATTCAGGGTTTATTTTCCATAGGGATTTGGTATTACAGTTCATTGTACGGTTCATATGGGTTGATTATTTTTTGTAAGAAATGCGTTTTTTTTTTTTTTTAAAGAAAGAAATGTGTTTGTAAATGAACTCATGATGATGTATTTTCTGACACATCAGTCTGATTACTATTACCCCAGAATGTAATAATGGGATAAGATTTTTCATCTATAGTGCTGTAGAAAGTATTGTTTTATTTAAAGCAAACCTTCAGTTCAACATGCCTATAAAACTTTGATTACATAAAATAGTACATCAAAAATATTGTCCCTGTATAATTCTCTAGCTTAATTTATAGAAGCCATGGGATATGCTTTATAGTGTGTTCCCTGAGACATAGTCATTTAAAATTCAGTGGCTTGTTTGCCCTAGCTTATGAATTTAAGTGAGTTTACTTATGAATTTACTTCCGTTTATATCTGTATTTTCTCTTCATGATGTTTAGATGTGAAAATCACCATGAAAAACTTAGTGTATTTTGCTGGACTTGTAAGAAGTGTATCTGCCATCAGTGTGCACTTTGGGGAGGAATGGTGAGTAGAACAAATTCAGTGTGTTCTCTTTTGTTAGATACCAGAGGGTATTAAAGTACTTGTTTCATTTGCATTTAAAATAGTATCATTTTACCTTCTAGAGTGAAAATTAAAAAAATCTTCTTTGTGTATGCCTTATTAAAGGTATTATACCTTCTGTTATTCTAGAACAATGTCCTTGAGTGGTAATTTGAGTACTGTTTGATGTTTTCTCACACAGATATTTTAAGCTAATACCTGTAAAACATAAATACCTGTGTGTGTGTATATGTGTGTGTGCGCGCGCGCATGTGCTTTTACTAGTGAGCTACCTATATTCCTTATTCTATATTCATTTTTAAATCTTTGTTACAGTGTCAAGATCTTTTTCTTTGAGTAAAAGTCAGCTGATATACTGGCCTAATTTGGATTGCTTTAAAATCAAGAACTTAATCACTTTTTTTTGTTGTTGTTGTTGTTTGTTTGTTTGTTTTGTTGGTTATGGGGCTGGAACTCTGGGCGTGGGTGCTGTCCCTGCACTCTTCAGCTCAAGGCCAGAGCTCTACCGCTTGAGCCACAGCACCACTTCCGGTTTTCTGGTGGTTTATTGGAGATAAGAGTTTCATGGACTTTTCTGCCCTGGCTGGCTTTGAACCATGATTTTCAGATCTCAGCCTCCTGAGTAGTTAGGATTACAGGCGTCAGCCACCAGCGCCTGGCAGGATCTTAATCACTTGTAAAATAGTAAAATGTTTTTAGAGTATATAAAAAAACTTATTTTTTTCTCTCCTTTTAGTTTCTTTTCTTTAATCTCTTTCCAGTGTAGATTTTTGTTTTCATTTGTTGAGACATTTTTTTCACTATGTTGCCCATACTTTGTTTAGACTTCCTGGGCTTTGGCAGTCCTCCTACCTCTTGTCTCCCCAATAAGTGAGACTATAGGCAGGTCTGACCACACCTGGCTTTAAAAGCAGATTTTCAGTTTGAGGTTTTTTTTTTCCCCCATTGGTCACAGGGTTTGAACTCTGGGCCTAGGCACTGATCTTGAGCTCTTCAGCTCAAGGCTAGTGCTCTACCACTTGAGCCACAGTGCCACTTCCAGTTTTCTGGTGGTTAATTGGAGATAAGAGTCCCATGGGGACTTTCCTGCCCAGGCTGGCTTTGAACTGTGATCCTCAGATCTCAGCCTCCTGAGAGGCTAGGATTACAGGCCTGAGCCACTGATGCTCAGCTTTGGTTTGAGTTTTTATTTTGTTTTTTTGAGAGATGGTTTTACTATATAACCTAGGCTTTCCTGGAGTTCTCTGTCCTCTTGTTTTAGCCTCCTTGTTGCTGGAATCATAAGTGTGTACCACCATGCCAAGCTAAAAGCTGATTTTTAAGATAGCCTGCCTTTATCGACTGTAAAGCATTTATTTAGAAGCAGCTTTTAATTTTATATACATATTCTGTTGTTTAAGCTGGGCGCTGCTGGCTCATGCCTGTAATCCTAGCTACTCAGGAGGCTGACATCTGAGGATCATCGTTCAAAGCCAGGCTGGGCAGGAAAGTCTGTGAGACTCTTTTTTTTTTTTTGGGTCCGGTCGTGGGGCCTGAACTCTGGGCTTGGGCACTGTCCCTCAGCTCTTCAGCTCAAGGCTAGCATTCTACCACTTGAGCCACAGTGCCACTTCTGGCTTTTTTTTTTCTGCTTTTTATGGTGCTGAGTAATCGAACCCAGGGCCTCAAGCATGCAAGGCAAGCGCTCTACCACTGAGCCACCTTCCCAGCACCTGTGAGACTCTTTATCTCTAATAAACCACCAGAAAAACTGGAAGTAGGGCTGTGGCTCAAGAGTTAGAGCTCTAGCCTTGAGCTGAGGAACTGAGGGATAGCACCCGGGCCCAGACAGAGTTCAAGCCCCATGACCGACAAAAAAAAAAAAAAAAAGAAACTCTTATTTACTATACAAGAGAGTTATAAATTGGACTTCTAAAATGCAAAAAGTTTTTTTAGTGCCAGAACTTTCAGCTGAATGCAGCTGGATTTGTAATACTAGTTTGTTAAGTCTTCAATTTCTGCACTTTTTATGTTTTTGATGACAGTCTTGGGGCTTGAACTCAGGGCCTAGGTGTTGTCCCTGAGCTTTTTTGCTCATAGTTAAGGCTCTACCACTTGATTTACAGCTCTATTTCTGTTTTTTTGGTGGGTAATTTGAACTAAGAGTTTTGTGGGCTTTGATCCCTTTGAACCATGATCCTTGAATCTCCTAGCTTTGAAGTAGCTAGTTATTACAGGTGAGCTACTGGTACTGGGGCTATCATACATTTTTGTAGCTTGAGAAATCAATTCATTGTTTGTGCTAATTGTGTATACTAACGTTTTTCTTTAGTGTGCTCTAACTTACTCAACTATATTTAAGACTGGGGATTTGGTAGTGACTGAGACAGATAAACAATTGAATATTATTAATTGGTGTGATAGATTTTAGGAATGTAGAAATTTGGTAATAGGGCATAAATTGTGGAAGGTGATTTAGAGCTAAGCTCTAAAAGATGAGTATAAATTAAGAGTTTCTGAGATAATAGATGAACAATTACTTTGAGTAAGAAGGAGTAATTTTTGCAAAGCCCTAGAAGAAATTTGAAGACATTAAAGCAGGCTAGTGTTACCTAGAAGTAGAGTGGCTAGTAAGTTTGTGACAGATGGTTTGAATTGTAGCTAAAAGATATTTTGTTCGTGATTTTTGGAAGATAGTGGTGCTGAGGACACATGCTATATCCCCACGCAGGATTTTGGTTCTTTATGAAGAGTTACGATTTCTAGAAAAATCAATAGTTTACTAATATCCAGCATTTATAGTCTCAGCAGAAGTCACACTGGGTCAAGTAATTTTTTTTGCAAGAACTTGCCTGCTTTAATAATATAAAGACAAGGTTTATTTGAAAATACTTACCAGTTTATAATTTTCCATAGAGTGTTAAAAAGTAAATGTAAGTGAATAAATCCGTAAATGTAAAAATGTTCTAAAATTACTTTTATTAATTTAAATAGCACGGTGGACATACCTTTAAACCTTTGGCCGAGATTTATGAACAACATGTCACTAAAGTGAATGAGGAAGTAGCCAAACTTCGTCGACGTCTTATGGAACTCATCAGCTTGGTTCAAGAAGTGGTAAGATAATTACTACAAGATCACCAACCTTTTTATATTCTATAATTGTATGTGTATAATTATATAAACCAACGTGTTGAAATCAGGATTTTAAGGTTTGAATGTTTGACAAGAAGTTTGTATGAAAGTGTGTGTAGATAGATAGATAGATAGATAGATAGATAGATAGATAGATAATCTTTGCAACTTCAGAGTAGCTGAAGAATTTACATATAAAGTTCTGGTGTATACAGAACCTGTTGAAGCCAGAGAATTACTGTTTATGCAGAATTAAAAGGTCAATTAGCCTGTAAGTCTGCTTATTACTGTGAATAATTGACTCCTTTTTATCCCTAGCAATTGACTTTTAAGCAGTCAGTATTGGTCTTGTATCCTCATTAAGTTATTCATTTGAATCCCCTGCATTTGGGAGGGTTTTTGCTAAATTGAAAGAACACTATTTTTTTGGGGGGGGGGGAATCTGGTGATGGGGCCTGAATTCTGGATCTGGTAGCTGTCCCTCAGCTCTTCAGTTCAAGGCTCTACCACTTGAGCCACAACGCCACTTTCGGCTTTTTCTGTTTGCTTATGTGGTGCTGAGGAATCGAACCCAGAGCCTCATGCATGCAAGGCAAGCACTCTACCACTGAGCCACTTTCCCAGCCCCGGAAGACCACTATTCTTAAGGTACTCTATAGGCCAGTTTTGGTGAGTTATATACAATTTAGAATGTTATTTCTGTGAGGAAATGTGATAGGCTTCAAGCAAGTACTATACTCTTTATAATATATTCTGTTTGTAGTTCCCAGGATGACAGCTATAAATAAGATTTGTATATTATTCTTTTTTTTGGCTTTGTTTTGTTTTTTGTCTGTCGTGGGGCTTGAACTCTGGGCCTGGGTGCTGTCCCTCAGCTCTTCAGCTCAAGGCTAGCGCTCTGCCACTTGAGCCACAGCACCACTTCCGGTTTTCTGGTGGTTTATTGGAGTCTCACAGACTTTTCTACCCAGGCTGGCTTTGAACCGTGATCCTCAGATCCCTGCCTCCTGAGTAGCTAGGATTACAGGCATGAGCCACTGATGCCTGACAAGATTTGTATATTATTCTTAAGGACAGATATTTTCTTTGTTTTAATTTTGCATCATCATTCCCAACATTCTTTACAGTTGAGGGATGGGGAACTTTTTTTTTTGAAGGGCCATTTGACCATTTTAAGCTATAGGCAGGCAGTTGATGAAAAGCATTTGAGAAGCATGTGTATCTCTCCCATCATATTATCAAAATGATGTTCCCACCCCTGCACACAGAAAATAATACTGTTGAATTACATGTATGATAATAGTTGTTTTGAAAAATGAACCAAAAGGCTGGGATGTAGCTCAGTGGCCAAGCGCTTGCCTAGAAAGTGCAACGTCCTGGGTTTGATCCCCAGTACCAAAAAAGAAAAGACAAAAAAAAAATACAGTTAAAGAAAAGAAAAATGAACCAAGCTGTATGGTTTCTATTTTGGCCTTCATCTACTTATATACTATTATTTTCTCTTACTCTTGGTTGAGATTCTTAACAGGAACGATTGTTTTATTTTCAGTGGTATGCCATTTTAAAATATATTGCATACACTATGCAATTTTTTTTTTTTTTTTGTCAGTTGTGGGGCTTGAATCCTGGGCCTGGGCATTGTCCCTGAGCTAGCTCAAACCTAGCGCTGTACCACTTGAGCCACAGCACCACTTCCGGTTTTCTGATAGTTTATTGGAGATAAGAGTCTCAAGGACTTTCCTGGTCCAGCTGGCTTTGAACTGTGATCCTCAGATCTCAGACTCCTGAGTAGCTAGGATTATAAGGCGTGAGCCACCAGTGCATGGCTAGTATGCAATCTTTTGTTTTTTTGTTTTTATTTGGTTGGTCATGGGTCTTGAACTTTGGGCCTGGATGCGGTCCTTGGGTTCTTCCTACCACTTTAGCCATGATGTCACTTCTGATTTTCTGGTGGTTAATTGGAAATAAGAGTCTTATGGATTTTCCTGCCCAGGCTGGCTTAGAACTGTGATCCTCAGATCTCAGGCTCCTAAGTAGCTAGGATTACAGGCGTGAGCCACCACCAGTGCCCAGCTTACTATGCAATCTTTTTTTTTTTTCTTTTGGTCCGGTCATGGGGCCTGAACTCTGGGCCTGGGCGCTGTCCCTCAGCTCTTTAGCTCAAGGCTAGCGCTCTACCACTTGAGCCACAGCGCCACTTCCGGCTTTTTTTTCTTTTTGCTTAGGTGGTGCTGAGGAATCGAACCCAGGGCCTCAGGCATGCAAGGCAAGCACTCTACCACTGAGCCACCTTCCCAGCCCCTACTATGCAATCTTGAGGGGAAAAAAATATCTTTGTATATAGTTCTAAAAAAAAAAAAAAGAAGAAAATGAATGAAAAAAAATTACTAGCATAAGTAAATATTGGCTTTTTTTTGGTGCCAGTCCTGAAGCTTGAACATAGGGACTGAACAATGTCTCAGCTTTTTTGCTAAGACTAGCACTCTATCACTTGAGCCATCTGTCTTTTTCCAGGTTTTTGATATTTAATTGGAGATAAGAGTCTTATAGGCTCTCATGCTCAGACTGTTTGGGATGTAAGTAGAACTTTATATATAGCCTATGTATGCATTACCTAAACCAGTTTTGTAATTATAGTACTTTTTGTTCAAATGTCTATTAAATTATCATACACTTAGATTTTATTTTTTGGCAGTACTATTGTTTGATTTCAGTGCTTCATATGGTAGGCAGGTATTCTTCCACTTGAACCATACCTCTAGACCTTTATGCTTTGGTTACTTTTGAGATAAGGTCTTGATTTTTGGCCAGGCTAGTCTGGGTCAGTAATCCTTCCATTTATAGTTGCCACCATAGCTGAGGTTGGTTGAGATGGGGTCCTGTGAACTTTTTACTAGAGCTGGCCTCAAACCTTGATTCTTGCAATCTTTTTTTTTTTTTGTCAGTCGTGGGGCTTGAACTCTGGGCTTGGGCACTGCCCCTGCGCTCTTCAGCTCAAGGCGAGCTCTACCACTTGAGCCACAGCACCACTTCCAGTTTTCTAGTGGTTTATTGGAGATAAGAGTCTCATGGACTTTCCTGCCCGGCCTAGCTTTGAACCAAACCGCAATCCTCAGATCTCAGCCTCCTGAGTAGTTAGGATTATAGGCGTGAGGCCCCGCAATTCTCCAGCCTCCTGAGTAGTTAGGATTACAGGCGTGAGGCCCGCAATTCTCCCAATCTTTACTCATCTGTTTTGGGTGTAATGGTCCCAGCCTGTAATCCTATCTACTTGTAAGGTGGAGATTTGGAAGGATCTAGGGTCAAGAAAAAGTTTGGTAGACTTCATCTCAATCAGTGGCTGAAAAGAGCCTGTGATCCGAAGCTACAGGGGAAACATAGTGGTTGGGTACAGTCTTTGTGCCTGTCAGCAACAAAGGAAAACACATATAGGATCCAAATCCAACCCAGCCTGGACATGAAGTTTAGCCCTATCTTGGAAATAACCAATGCAAAAAAATTCCAAGAGGTATGGTTCAAGTGGTAGAGCACTTGCATGAGGCCCTGAGTTCAAATTCTATTATCACTTAAAAAAATAATTGCATTGATTGTTTCAGTGCCACTTCCTTTTGTTCTTAAAGTTCTCTACTTAAATTTCTCTTGACCTGTTTATCTGCTAGGAAAGAAATGTAGAAGCTGTAAGAAATGCAAAAGATGAACGTGTTCGGGAAATTAGAAATGCAGTAGAGATGATGATTGCACGACTAGATACACAGCTGAAAAACAAGCTTATTACACTGATGGGTGAGTGCTTTTGAATACTTCTCCTACATTGTACCTTGATCTTGATTGAAGTTTAGTCTTTGAGTTGTGAGGTTGGTGAGTTGTTACAGGCTAGAAAGAAATCTTGAGATTTTAGGTATCTCCATATTGTTATCTGGACTATTGTACCATTTATATTTAGAAATCATTAGAGAAAAGCTTATACAGCCATTTGGGAAGGAATTCCAATGGTTAATGCCTTTCATTGTGTGTGCCATGTATTTTCCCACAAATCCAAAACAGTGTCCTTTTTTTCTTTTTCTGGTCTTTAGTGGAGATTAAGAACATTGGCCAACTCTTTAGCTTTTTTAAAGACATTTAAATTCTTGTTTGTTTTTTATTTCTAGTAGATTTCTTTTTCAGTCTAAATATTCAAATGTTTATTGCTCCCCCATTTGGTTCTTCATGCTGTATTTGATTGCCTCATACTGCTTTGATTATGGAGCCTATTTTTAATTTTAATTTTATTTTATAGTGTACTAGCTTTTGTACTCAGAGTATTCTGCTTGCTTAGCAGGTCCTCTATTACTGAGTTATTCTTCCAGCAAGGAGCCTGCTATTAAACAAAATTTAAATAATAGTATAGTCTAATGTTAATTTATTCATTTATTTTGGTGGTGCCAGGGATTGAACCCAGTTCAGCCATTGTTCTTCTCTTAGATGAATTTGTTAGGCCTAAGTTGAGTTTTCTCTCTCTCTCTCTCTCTCTCTCTCTCTCTTTTTTTTTTTTTTGGTGCCCGTCTAGCTTGAACTCAGGGCCTAGGCACTGTTCCTGAGCTTTTGTGCTCAAGGCTAGTACTCTACCACTTGAGCCATAGCCCCACTTTTTGGTGGTTAATTGTAGAGAGTCTCATGTCCATTCTTGCCTGGGATGGCTCTTAATCATGTTCCTCAGCTCTCAGCCTCATGAAAAGACATGAGCCATTGATGTTTGGGTCTAAGTTGGATCTTGTCATCGTCTTTTTTTTTTTTTTTGGAACCCCAGGGTTTGGGTGCTGTCCCTGAGCTCTTTTAGTCAAGGCTAATGTTCTACCACTTTGAGGAGCCACTTCAGTTTTCTAGTGGGTAATTGCAGAAGAAGGGTCTCATGGACTTTCCTGCCTGGGCTGGCTTTGAACTGCGATCCTCAGATCTCAGCCTTCTTAGTGGTAGAGTGCTTGCCTAGCATGCATGAGGCCCTGGGTTCAATTCCTCAGTACCACACTAATAGATCTCAGCCTCCTGAGTAGCTAGGATTACAGACAGGAGCCACTAGCACCCGGTGTGAATTTTGTCTTTGAAAAGGATTTATTCTTTTTTTCTTTTTTCTTTTTGTTTCAGTTCTGGAGCATGAACTCAGGGCCTGGCACTGTCCCTGAGCTTCTTTTGCTCAAGGCTAGCACGCTACCACTTCCGGCTTTTTCTGTTTATGTGATACTGAGGAATTGAACCCAGGATTTCATGCATGCTAAGCAAGCACTCTACCACTAAGCCACATTCCCAGCCCCACATTCCCAATCCCAAAAAGGATTGATTCTAAAGTTCTCTTTTTTTATTTATTTTTTATTTTTTGTCGGTCATGGAGCTTGAACTCTGGGCCCGGGCGCTGTCCTTGAACTCTTCAGCTCAAGGCTAGGGCTCTACCTCTTTAGCCACAGCACCACTTCTGGTTTTCTGAATGGTTTATTGGAGCTAAGAGTCTCATGGATTTTCCTGCCCAGGCTGGCTTTGAACTGCTATCCCAGTTCTCAGCCTCCTGAGTAGTTAGTATTACAGGCATGAGCCACCAGTGCCTGGCTTTAAAGTTCTCTTTCCTAAGAAATACTTTGACTAATTAGTATTCAACATTTGAATTCTATTCAAAAGTAGATTAGTATTAGATTTCTTTCTTTTTTTGGGGGGGGGGGGTCACTTGTGGAGCCTGAACTGTGGGCCTGGGCACTGTCCCTTCACTCTTCAGGTCAAGGCTAGTGCTCTACGACTTGAGCCACAGCCCCACTTCTGGCTTTTTCTGCTTATATGGTGCTGAAGAATCGAACCCAGGGCCTCATGCATGCAAGACAAGCACTCTACTACTGAGCTACCTAACCAGCTCCTAGATTCTATTTCTTAAAGCACTAGAAGGTTTAAACTAATGAAGAACTTTCGCTTATTTGATATAGATTTTTAAACATGTTTATTAGAAGCTAATTTTATTCTGAAATCAGTAGTGAAGTTATGCTGTACATTTGAACAGGTCAAAAGACATCTCTAACCCAAGAAACAGAGCTATTGGAATCCTTACTTCAGGAGGTGGAACACCAGGTGATGAACAAAATAATTTTCTTTTTCATTTCTGAGATTTTGCAAATCTCTTAAAAGTGGTTCTTTGTGAAGTAGGAGGTAGGTGGGGACAGATTATCTTTTTGAGATCAGAGGATCTATTTGTTACAATAGATATTTTCTTATGAAATAAGAATCAGCTGATAAAAGATTTCTCTTCAATTTGAGAAGTATAATTATAATGTTGTGTAAGAATAGAATCCTTTTTCTTTTTGTCAGTCTTGGGGCTAGAACTCTGGTCCTGGGCGCTGTCCCTCAGCTCTTCAGCTCAAGATAAGCACTTTACCTCTTGAGCCACTGCGCCACTTCTGGTTTTCTGGTGCTTTATTGGAGATAGGAGTCTCATGGGACTTCCCTGCCTGGGCTGGCTTTGAACCTGGATCTTCAGATCTTAGCCTCCTGAATAGCTAGGATTACAGGCTTGAGCCACCGGTGCCCAGCTCTTTTTCTTTTCTATTTTGTAAACTAGTAATAAACCCACAGAAATTGTAAATCTATTAAAAATATAGAGTTCTAGAACTTTAAATTTTTGAAGTCTTTATCAATTTGAGGTTTGGTGTGATATTTAGGAAATCTATCTAACCCAAGGTCACAAAATTTTTCTCTTATTTTTTAGAACTTTTTTTTTTTTTTTTTGGTTGGACATGGGGCTTGAACTTGGGGCCTGGGAGCTGTCCCTGACCTCTTTTGCTCAAGGCTAGAATTCTGTCACTTTGAGCTATAGTGCTGCTTCTACTTTCCTGGTTGCTAATTGGGGATAAGAGTCTCACAAACTTTCCTACTGGGGCTGGCTTAGAACTTCAGCCCTCAGATCTCAGCCTCCTGAGTAGCTAGGATTACAGGTGTGAATCACTGGTGCCTGGCTAGACATTTTGTTACTTTAAGACAGTTGTAGTGTACTCTTTAATCTCAGCACTTGGAAAAGGTGAAGCAGATAGATCTTGATTTAGAGGCAAGTCTGGGCTTACATATCAAGACCTAATCTCAGTCAAAAAAACTGTTTTGAGTATTTTTATTGGTGAGGTATAGATACAGGATAAGATTTTGGTTATTTTGTTTTTGTTTTATTGGCTGTCTAATACCATCTGTTCTAATACCATCTGTTGAAAAGGTTATCTTAATTGTTGCATTTTTTCCCAAGAAATAGTTGTCCTTATGTTCATGGACTCTTATTTGTTTTGGTGCCAGTTTTGTTTGTTTTTTGTTTTTGTACTACTTTTGAATCTTGAACTCTGGGCCTGGGTGCTGTCCCTGAGCGCCCTTTGCTCAAGGCTGGTACTCTACCACTTGAACCTCAGCTCCACTTCTGGCTTTTTCTGTGAGTAATTGGAGATAATTCTCATGGACTTTCTTGCCCAGGCTGACTTTGAACCATGATCCTCAGATTTCAGCCTCCTGAGTAGCTAGGATTAGAGATGTGAGCCACTAGCGCCCAGCTATAATAATAATAATAATAATTCTTGTTTTTTGTTTTGTTTTTTTTTGGTCCGGTCGTGGGGCCTGAATTCTGGGCCTGGGCGCTGTCCCTCAGCTCTTCAGCTCAAGGCTAGCGCTCTACCACTTGAGCCACAGCGCCACTTCCGGCTTTTTTCTTTTTGCTTATGTGGTGCTGAGGAATCGAACTCAGGGCCTCATGCATGCAAGGCAAGCGCTCTACCACTGAGCCACCTTTCCAGCCCCAAATATAGTACAACTTTTTTTTGGGGGGGTCAGGTCGTGGGGCCTGGGCGCTGTCCCTCAGCTCTTCAGCTCATGGCTAGCGCTCTACCATTTGAGCCACAGCACCACTTCCGGCTTTTTTCTTTTTGCTTATGTGGTGCTGAGGAATCGAACCCAGGCCCTTATGCATGCAAGGCAAGCGCTCTACCGCTGATCCACCTTCCCAGCCCTATAATAATTCTTATTATTTTAATTTTATTTGTTTAATGGCTGGGTCTTGTTGTGTGGTTCATGACCGGCCAAAAGAAAAAGAAAAGGCTCTGAAATTGCAGGAGCTATTTGTTAGTACACATAACCACTTCACTGTATTGGTGGGTTCTTTTATCTGTTTTTCAGCAGGTAGCTAATTTGTTATTTTTTTCTTAAAACTTTGAGTTGCTACTGAATAGCATTTCTGTTGATTCAGCTAATTTTTTTTCCTTACACAGTTGCGGTCTTGTAGTAAAAGTGAACTGATATCTAAGAGCTCAGAGATCCTAATGATGTTTCAGCAAGTTCATCGAAAACCCATGGCATCTTTTGTTACCACTCCTGTTCCTCCGGACTTTACCAGGTATGACAATTTTTAAATCTCATTTTCACTTGAAGTTTGTGTACAAAAGGTATATACTTGTTTCAAAAGAATCAGTTGTGCTTTTTAGCTCTTAATCTCTTTTAAGGTACTATTTCTAGTAATATGATCTGGGGAACTCTGCACATGTAAATCTTGTCTCAAAAAAAAAATGTGATGCTGGGCGCTGGTGGCTCATGCCTGTAATCCTAGCTACTCAGGAGGCTGAGATCTGAGGATCACGGTTCAAAGCCAGCCTGGGCAGGAAAGTCTGTGAGACTCTTATCTCTAATAAACCACTAGAAAACCGGAAGTGACACTGTGGCTCAAATGGTAGAGTGCTGGCCTTGAGCTGAAGAGCACAGGGATAGCGCCCAAGCCCTAGAGTTCAAGTCCCACGACCAACAACAACAACAAAAAAATGTGATGGACTCATATTATGGGTCTTGTTGTGTAGCCCAGGCTGACTTTGAACTCAAAATCCTCCTGCCTTAGCCTTTCAAGTGTTGCAATTATAGGGTGTACATCACGATATCCAGTTTTTTGTGTTTTTTGTTTTTGTTTTTGTTGGTGTTGGTCCTGGGGCTTGCACTCTGGGCCTGGGCACTGTTCAGCTCTTCAGCTCAAGGCTAGCAGCGCTCTACCACTTGAGTCACAGCGCCACTTCCAGTTTTCTGGTTATTTTTGGAGATAAAGAGTCTCTTGAACTTTCCTACTTGGGCTGGCTTTGAACTGTGATCCTCAGATCTCAGCCTCTTGAGTAGCTAGGATTACAGGCGTGAGCCACCGATGCCCAACTAATGCCCAGTTTTTGACTTAGTGTTAAACAATAAAGAGGAAATGATAGTGCACTAAAAATTGTTTGTCTTTTTCTTGGAGCAACATTTTCTATAGAAAATAATCAAATAAATTACTTTTATCAGTTCTATTTTTATGTTCTGAATTAACATCCTATTAAACAAAACTCTAAAAGAGATATCATACTAAAATAATTTAAAGGTGACAGATACTGGGAGAAAGCAGTTGAAGAGTTGATACTGGTCCACGCTTGTCAGTTTTATCTTGCTCTGAATCTTTAAATTTTGTGTGTGTGTGTGTGTCTCGCATGCATGCATGTGTGTGCATGTACCAGTTCTTGGGCTTGGACTCAGTGCTTGGGCACTTTCCCTGAGTTTCTTTTTGCCCAAGGCTAGCACTCTTACCTTTTTTTTTTTTTTGGTTGTTCATGGGGCTTGAACTCTAGGCCTGGGCACTGTCTCTGAGCTCTTAAGCTCAAGGCTAGCGCTCTACTATTTGAGCCACAGTGCCACTTCTGGTTTTCTGGTGGTTAATTGGATATAAGAGTCTCATGGGGGCTGGGAAGGTGGCTCAGTGGTATAGTGCTTGCCTTGCATGCCTGAGGCCCCAGGTTCGATTCCTCTGCACCACATAGGCAAAAAGAAAAAAAGCCAGAAGTGGCGCTGTGGCTCAAGTGGTAGAGTGCTAGCCTTGAGCTGAAGAGCTGAGGGACAGCGCCCAGGCTCAGAGTTCAGACCCCACGACAGGACCAAAAAAAAAAAAAAGTCTCATGGACTTTCCTGTCTGGACTGGCTTTGAACCATGATCCTCAGATCTCCTCCTCCTGAGTAGCTAGGATTATAGGTAGGAGCCACCGGTGCCCGGATTAGCACTCTACCACTTTGAGCCACAGCGATACTTCTGGATTTTTCTGTTTATGTGGTACAAAGGAATCGAACCAGGGCTTCATGCATGCTAGGCAAGCACTCTACCACTAAGCTACATTGAGTCCCTTTAAATTCTTTTGAATAGCATATTCTTCCATGCATATTTATAATTACACTATGATGTTAGACTGGTAGTTCTCAAACCCTAATATAAGAATTACTTGAGATTCTGTTTAAAATTATCAAACTGTTAATGAGAGCTTGTTTTCTTTTAAAGTAAATGAAAATTTCAATTTATGTAAGGTAAATAATTTGTTTTTATTTCTTCTCAGTGAATTAGTACCATCTTATGATTCAGCAACTTTTGTTTTAGAGAATTTCAGGTAAGAGTTTTTGAGCACTGTTTATTTTTTCATGTATTTATAAGGAAGAGCTGTAAAGGTCTCATTCCTTGATAGGAAACATACCTACCAAGTGAATGATCACTCAGTTAAGTAGTCTTAAAACAAGCTTCCTATTAGAAACAGAGATGGTCTAGCTTATGCAGGTTCAGTATCCCCTATCTAAAATGCTTAAGTATAGAAGTATTTTTTTATTTTATTTTATTTTTTGGGGGGGGGTCCAGTCGTGGGGCCTGAACTCTGTTGCCTGGGCACCACTGAGCCACCTTCCCAGCCCTATAGAAGCATTTTAAATTTCAGATTTTTTTCAGATTTTTGGAATAGTTTGTTTGGAAAATGACATTTGATTATGTGACACAGGTCTAAACATTTGTTTCTTTTTTTTGGTCTGTCATGGGGCTTGAACTCTGGGCTTGGGCGCTGTCCCTCAGTTCTTCAGCTCAAGGCGAGCACTCTACCACTTGAGCCACAGCGCCACTTCCGGTTTTCTAGTGGTTTATTGGAGATAAGAGTCTCACATAGTTTTCTGCCTGGGCTGGCTTTGAACTGTGATCCTCAGATCTCAGCCTCCTGAGTAGCTAGGATTACAGGCATGAGCCACCGGTGCCCACCTCTAAACATTTGTTTCTTATAAGTACTTTATACGTATGGCAAGTATGTAATTTTATATAGTTTTTTTTTTTAGTGCTTTTACAGGTATCATGTTACATGTGGCTGAGTGTAGGATTTTCCTCTAGTGATCTCTTGTTGGAGCTCAGAAGTTTCAGATTTTGTAGCGTTTTGAATTAGGTATGCTCATCTTACATCTTCAGGGTTGTTGCTTCTCCATTCTAAGAAAAGGAAATACTTATTAAATTTAAGAGTTTGCTTAGTTTTTGCTTAGTTTGCTAAAGTGGAGAGGTGAGAATATGGAAGTATATGAGCCCCCAATCTACCTGCCTTAAGTAAAAGTTGTGCTAAGTCCACTGAGATCTGTTACTGACAGTAAGAAGCCATTTCAGATGTAGTGCTCTTGCAGAAGTATGCAATATGGTTTTAGAGAAAGGCAAGAGGAAAATGGAGACAAGTATACTGAAGTATATTTAATTTCAATAAATTTTGCTTAAAAGTTATATTTTAGTTCTTTCAGTATGCATTTGAAATGCTGAATTGACTTTCACAAGCACAAATCTCCCACCCCTCCCCCCTTTTTTTTTTTGCTTTTGCTATGCTGGGAATTTTAACAGAAGGCATTGTATTTGCTAGGAAGCAGTACTCTTATCACTGAGTTCTGTCTCCAGCCCAAGAGGCCGGTATTGTAAGAAAATGTGTAGGCTTTGTAAGTTGCATGTTAGCCTTTGATACTTTTATTTTTCTTTTTATTAATTTTTTACTTTTCTGCTTGGTATTGGGCTTTCAGCTTGGCTTTCTGCTTACTAGGCAGGTGCTTAACCAGTTGAACCATGTCTTCAGTCTTGTTTTTAAATGAAAGACTGTTATTGAAAAAAGTCAAATCAGGATGCTTAATGATCCTTTTTCTTTTGAAGGTCACAATTTTTAGGGTTTTGTTTCTTTTGCTTTGTTTTTAAAGGATTTGCTGAATGTTTTTGTATCATTACATTTTCTTTAATTTTAGGACATTAGTGTATCAGGGCTTATTTAGTGGCACCTTGACAAGATCAGGATTACAAGTACTAACTGAAAGAGTATGATTTGCTGTTGGTTTTACAAGTTGTATTTTATAGTAGTTTTGATCTTCGGTTTGGTTGGTATTCTTTTTCTTTAGCACTTTGCGCCAGAGAGCAGATCCTGTGTACAGCCCACCTCTACAAGTTTCAGGCCTTTGCTGGAGATTAAAAGTTTACCCAGTAAGTTTCTCATATTTCTAATAAATTTTCAACCAAGTTTTTTGGTGAAGTAAGGAAATCAATAAATTAATGACAATATTGTATTTTTTTGTTTGCATATTAGTACTGGAATTTGACCTCAGGGTTGTGCACCTAGGAATCTGTTCTATCCCTTCAGCTACAACTCCAGTCCTGTATTTTACCTCCAGACTTGTGTTCGTTCCTTCCTTCCTTCCTTCCTTCCTTCCTTCCTTCCTTCCTTCCTTCCTTCCTTCCTTCCTTTCTTCCTTCCTTCTTTCTTTGGTTGTGGGACTTGAGTTCAGGGCCTAGGTAATTTCTCAGATCTTTTTGCTAAAGGCTAGCCTCTACCACTTTGAGCCACCACACAACTTCCACTTTTGAATGATTGATATAAGTACTTTCTCTGAGCATTTGAAAAGATAGACATTTCTTTAGAAGAAATGTTTAAAGTTTTTTTTGAATATATTTTTTAATATATATATTTTCTTATTGTGAAAATTACAATTACATGGGCAAGATAATGAGTACATTTCTTTTTTTTTTGGTCCGGTCATGGGGCCTGAACTCTGGGCCTGGGTGCTGTTCCTCAGCTCTTCAGCTCAAGGCTAGCGCTCTACCACTTGAGCCACAACGCCACTCCCGGCTTTTTTCTTTTTGCTTATGTGGTGCTGAGGAATCAAACCCAGGGCCTCATGCATGCAAGGCAGGCGCTCTACCACTGAGCCACCTTCCCAGCCCCATGAATACATTTCTTATCAAGCATTGTTGCCTCCTCCTTTGTTTCACTTCCCATCCCTTCCCATCTCCCCCCTCCCCCTGCCCCCCTCAGTCCTCCCCCCCCAAAGTTCTTTAAAAGTCATGTAAATGATGGCTGAAGTGCACCTGAGTAGATAAAAGTGTTTTATCTTCCATACATATAGCCCCCTGGGCTTGATGTCTAGTACCACCAAAAAAATCATTTAAAAAATAAAATATAAATATAGAAACCTCCCCCCCCCCCAAAAAAAAACATATGTGTATCATTTTGTATTTTATCTTTTGGAGTTGTGAGCTGAGTTTGATCTTAGGGCCTGAAGCTTGCTAGGTAGTTACTCTATTACTTGTCCTTTTATCGCCAGCCCTTTTTTTTGCTTTAGCTTTTTTTTTTTTTTTTGGTAGTGTCTTACTTCCTTTTTGATTTTTGCATGGATCAGCCTGGACCACAATCCTCCTTACAGCCTCTAGCAGGGAATCACAAGCATGTGCCATTAAACCTGGCTTATTGTTTGAGGGTAGCCTCTTGGTACTTCTTTGCTTGGACTGGCCTTAAATCTTAATATTCCTGATCTCTGTCTACTGAGTAGTTGCCACTGTACTTGCTAACTTAAATGTCTTATTTTGTTTTATTCTTTTTGGGGATCCTGAGGCTTGAACTCAGGTTCTGGGCCCTGTTCCTGAGTGTTTTGCTCAAGGCTAATGCTCTTCCACTGGGCCACTGTTCCATTTCCAGTTTTTTACTGGTTCATTGGAGTCTCACAGACTTGTGCTCAGACTGGCTTCAAACAGCAGTCCTCAGCCTCCTGAGTAGCTAGAATTACAGCAATGAGCCAGGAGCAACTAACTGGCTAGTGGTTATTTTGTCAATTTTTTTTCATTCCTTTTTTTTTTTTTTTTTTTTTAAATATGGAACGCTTCATGAATTTGTGTGTCATCCTTGCGCAAGGGCCATGCTAATCTCTGTACCGTTCCAATTTTAGTATAAGTGCTGCCGAAGCGAGCACTTCATTCATTTCTTGTTACCTATTATCATTTTACTTTAGGATGGAAATGGAGTTGTTCGTGGTTACTACTTATCTGTGTTCCTGGAACTTTCGGCTGGCTTGCCTGAAACTTCCAAGTAAGATATGTACTTAATAATGTAATCGAGGTGCATTTACATACATACATCTCCTTAGCAATTTATATTAAGTACTTGCTGTATGTATTGTTAATTTCTTTTTTTGTTTTTTTTTTTTTGTTTTTGAGATATAATCTCACTATGTAGACCTGCCTACTCAGAATTATTTTCTGTCTACTTGCTAGGTAGTAGGACTATAGACCACCACTCTTGATTTCAATAGTGTTTTAGTTTATATATTTAGCCAGACATGGTAGCTTATTCCTATAATCCTGGATCCTTGGAAAGCTGAGATTGGAGGATCATATTTGAGGTGAACCTAAGCAAAAATTTCATGAGATCCTTCTTTATAACTAACAAAAGCCAGATTTTCGTACTTGTCATCCCAGCTACACAAGAAGTATAAATAGGAAGATCAAGGTCCAGACTGACTCAGCAAAAAATGAGACCTTATTTAAAAAATAAAAGCACAAATAGCCGGGTGCCAGTGGCTCATGCATAATAATCCTAGCTACTTAGGAGGCTGAGATCTGAGGATTGAAGTTCAAAGCCAGCCCAGGCAGGAAAGGCTGTGAGACTCTTATCTCCAATAAAATAGAAAACCGGAAGTGGTGCTGTGGCTTAAGTGGTAGAGCGCTAGCCTTGAGCTGAAGAGCTGAGGGACAGCGGTCAGGCCCAGAGTTGAAGCCCCATGACCAACAAAAAAACAAAGCAAAAATAGCTATGAGTGTGGCCCAACGGTAATACGTAGCCTGTTAAGCTCAGTTGCCTCTCTAAGTTCAAACTCCAACACTGCCAATAAAATTTAAAAGGAATACATAAATTTGCCTCACAAATTTTGAATATATATATATTTTTTTGTCAGTCATGGGGCTTGAACTCGGCCTGGGCACTGTCCCTAAGCTTCTTTTACTCAAGGCTAGCACTCTACCACTTGAGCCATAGCACCACTTTTGGCCTTTTCTGTTTATGTGGTACTGAGGAATCGAACCCGGGGCTTCATGCATGCTAGGTAAGCACTACCACTAAGCCACATATCCTGCTCAGATTTTGAATATATTAGGAACCCTTTTAAAAAAATATAAGGTAGAACTTAGGTGTACTATAAATTCACCTAAGAATACAGAATTTAGTGTTTTTTAGTAGGTTCACAGAGTTCTACAGTTACTAATACCCAGTTTCAGAATCTTTTATTTATTTTTTTTATTTACTTTTTTTTTTTTTTTGAGTCCGGTTGTGGGGCCTGAACTCTGGGCCTGGGCACTGTCCCTCAGCTCTTCAGCTCAAGGCTAGCACTCTACCACTTGAGCCACAGCACCACTTCTGGCTTTTTTCTTTTTGCTTATGTGGTGCTGAGGAATCGAACCCAGGGCCTCATGCATGCAAGGCAAGCGCTCTACCACTGGGCCACCTTCCCAGCCCCTCAGAATCTTTTCATTACAAAGAAACCTCAGCTCTTCAGCTCAAGGCCAGAGCTCTACCACTTGAGCCACAGCGCCTCTTCAGTTTTCTGGTGGTTTATTGAAGCTAGGAGTTTCATGGACTTTCCTGCCTGGGCTGGCTTTGAATGGTGATCTTTGTATCTCAGCCTTCTGATTAGCTAGGATTACAGGTGTTAGCCACCCGCACCCTGCTCCAGCCTACTTTTCATTGAGAGATGACTTAAAATATGGTTTTATATAATTTGCTATTTTTTTTGCTATTATACCAACAGAAAAATAAGCAGTTCATTAAATGTTATTTACAATGTGCAATCTAGATTCACATTTAGTGAGTTATTTTTGCACTATTACATGAAAATCTTTTTTTTTTTTTGTCAGTCATAGGTCTTGAACTTAGGGTCTAGGTACTGTCTCTGAGCTCTTTTGTTCAAGGCTAGTGCTCTTCCCACTTTGAGCTACAGCTCCACTTCTGGTTTTCTGGTGGTTAATTGGAGATAGGAGTCTCATGGATTATCCTGCCAGGCTGGCTTTAAACTATGATTCTCAGACATCAGTTTCCTAAGTGTCTAAGATTACAGGTGTGAGCCACCAGTACCTTATATAAGAATCTTTTGTTTTGGTATGGAATATTTGTTTATAGCTAACATGAAAGGGATGAGATTTGCCATTTTTCATGTAGGAGCCAAACCTAACTAATGAAACTAATTGGACCAAAACAATTATTTTTCTGTGTGAAGAAACAAGGAAAAGAAATTTTTGAGTTGTAAGAAACAGCTCTGTGAGTGCTATGCCTTAAACCCATAGAGTTCAGGTTGACAAAAGGGATGGAACTGAGGTAGAATCTTATAGACTTAGTTGAAGTAGTGCTGAGAGTCCAGGAACACCAACCCTGCTAGCAGGCTTTTGGCAGAACACCAAAGCTCACAGTTTGGCAGAATACCAGAGCTGCACACAGAGAAATTCATAGATTCCAGGTGGGGTCATCTTACATATTCAGCAGAGTCTATTTTATTATAATTATTTTTTTGGGGTCTGGTCGTGGGGCCTGAACTCTGGGCCTGGGCACTGTCCCTCAGCTCTTCAGCTCAAGGCTAGCACTCTACCACTTGAGCCACAGCGCCACTTCCAGCTTTTTTCTTTTTGCTTATGTGGTGCTGAGGAATTGAACCAAGGGCCTCAGGTATGCAAGGCAAGCTCTCTACCACTGAGCCACCTTCCCAGCCCCTCAGCAGAGTCTATATGTGCAGCAATAAAAGGTCAAGATGAAAGCAAGACCAAAGTCAGTCTCACAATACCAAGAAATCTGCAGACTTAGGTTGTTTTTTGTTTTGGGGGGGGGGGGGGGTCCAGTCGTGGGGCCTGAACTCTGGACCTGGGCGCTGTCCCTCAGCTCTTCAGCTCAAGGCTAGTGCTTTACCACTTGAGCCACAGTGCCACTTCCGGCTTTTTTCTTTTTGCTTATGTGGTGCTGAGGAATCGAACCCAGGGCCTCAGGCATGCAAGGCAAGCACTCTACCACTGAGCCACCTTCCCAGCCCCCCAATTTCTACTCTTGAACCACACTTTGAGCACTTTTTTTTTTTCTTTTGGTGCTGGTCCTAGGTCTTGAAGTCAGAGCTTAGGTGTTGTCCCTGAGATTCTTTTTCTCAAGGCTAGCACTGCCACTTGAGCCATAGTGTCATTTACAGCTTTTTCTAAGTTGTTCATTAAATATAAGAGTCTCATGGACTTTTCTTACTTGGCCTCAATCTATGATCCTCAGATCTCAGCCTCCTGGGTAGCTAGGATTACATGAGCCACCAGTGCCTGGCTTTGAGCATTTTTGCTTTAAATTGTTTTTTAGGTAGGGTCTTGCTTTTTGCCAAGGCTGGCCTCAAACTACAGGCTTCTTAACTGCCTCCCTCACAGCTGGGATTACAGGCATACCACTCATTCCTAACTTGTTTATTAAGATTTTTGTTCTGTTTTGTTTTTGATTTTGCTTACGCTGATCTTGAATTCACAATTCCTGTATCTCTACCCCAGTATCTAGGATTACAGGTATGCATCACTATATCTGGCTCCTCCATTCCCTTAATGGCTAGTGAAATTAAGCATCTTTTCATGCATTTCTATGTCTTCTTTTTTTTTTTTAAACTATATTTTTTGTCTTTTCTTTTTTGGTACTGGGAATTGATCCCAGGACATTGTACTTGCTAGGCAAGCGCTTTGCCACTGAGCTACATCCCAGCCCTATATGTGTTCTTTGAACTTATATCTATATAAATCCATTATCTTTTTATATATTGGGTTGTCCTGCTGAATTGTAAGAATTTTTAATGTATATTGAATATCAAACTTTAGTTATATGTATGATTTTTGGATAGTTTTTCCCAGTTAGTAGGTTCCCTTTAGTACATAAAAGTTTTTACACATTATCATTCTGGAGACTTGGAAATTTTATATAATAGATTATGGAAACAGCGTTTTAGCTTCTCCAGTATATACTTATTTTCTACTAGTAAATTTTATAGCATTGCCTAGAAAAAAAATTTTATAGCCATGAATTTCTGAATGCACAGTGAGTTACTTTATTATAGCTTGTATTAGAAAAATGATAACGCATTTTAAAATTCATATTTTAAAAAATAAAATTCATATTTTAAAATTGTGTTACTAAACTTCAAAGATGAATTCAAATAGATTGTTCAACTACTCAGCATCGATGAAACAAAAACCTCTCTGAAGAATTTCCTCATAGAAGACTTACTTATTATTTGAGGTTCTGCTTTTTTCCTGATACATTGGTAAACATTTGAAGAAGGAAACAGTATCTAGTATCAATCATGTTCTGGTGGCAGTATTCAAAATACTATTTTTGTGATAGATACCTTTTCTGAAAGGAACTTGTGACAAGTTTCTTCCTAAGTAATTACTTAATGAGCTTAATGTTTACATGAGTCTATTTTTTTATTCTTTGGGTTTCTCTTTGGCAGTAGAGGGGTTGAAGTCAGGACCTTGCACTTGCTAAGCAGGTGTCTTAACACCGAAGTCACACCTCAAAGCCCATGTCTTTTATTCTTTACTGTGTTATTGGTCTCTCTTTCAATTTTAGATATGAATATCGTGTAGAGATGGTTCATCAATCCTGCAATGATCCTACCAAAAATATCATTAGAGAATTTGCATCGGACTTTGAAGTTGGAGAGTGTTGGGGCTATAATAGATTTTTCCGTTTGGATTTATTGGCAAATGAAGGATACTTGAATCGACAAAATGATACAGTGATTTTGAGGTAACAGGGACTATTTGTCACGGAAGAATGAAGTCATCAAATCTTTGTTTCAAAATCTACCTCTCTAACAATGCATATTGAAATTCATGCTAGTTATAATCATGCAAATTTATTAACTGTTTTATTTCTTGTATGTAGTTCTGTATAGTCAAATGGATAATAAAATGTGTTGGACATCTAGTTATTAATTCCATTATATGGAATCTGTTAAAAGGTAAGTATTGTCTAGGCCCTGAGTTCAAGTTCCATGACTTTCCCCCCACCAAAAAAAAAAAGTGTCCCTAATTTCAAAACAGAAACATTCCAAACTCTTAGTGTGTGAAAACAATGCTAGAGTGGCAAATTGCAAGTCTGTCTTCATTGGAGCAGGTGGTCACAGTGCAGCCACACTAAGAATATTGCATGAAATTACCTTCAGCTTGTATGTATCAAATGTGCCAGATTCACATGTAGAAATCTAAGAATAGTGGGTAAACAAATGTTATTTGTTTTACTTGACAGCATTTTGGTGACTTATTTTGTGAACATAATTTTATAGAATGACTTAGTTTTTAGATAACAGATCAAGTGTAGAGAAACAGATGAAAACAATATGAAATACTTAGGTTATTTACAAGAAGGAATAGAGTGTAAACACCTAAACATAGGATTATTGTAGAGCTAGCCTCTACAGGTTAGATGCTTTGGAGTATCATTACATGATATGAGAGTTTGGATTTTTTTTTTTTCTCCTTGGCTTGAACTCTGGACCTCAGTGCCTGTCCCTGAGCAAAAGAATGCTCAAGGCTAACACTACCCTTTGAACCACAGTTCCACTTCTGGCTTTTTTTTTTTTTGTAATTTATTGGAGGAAGGTGTCTCACAGACTTTCCTGCCTGAACTGTTTTTGAACCACAGTCCTCAGATCTTATCCTCCAGAGTACTAGAATCACAGGTGTGAGCTACTGGTGCCCAGCTGAGAGAGAGTTTTTTTTTTTTGGTGGGGAAGAGGGGGTCCGGTCATGGGGACTAAACTCTGGGCCTGGGCGCTGTCCCTCAGCTCTTCAGCTCAAGGCTAGCACTCTACCACTTGAGCCACAGTGCTACTTCCGGCTTTTTTCTTTTTGCTTATGTGGTGCTGAGGAATTGAATCCAGGGCCTCAGGCATGCAAGGCAAGCTCTCTACCACTGAGCCACCTTCCCACCCCTGAGAGCTCAGAGTTTTATAAAGAGATTCAGACATGTTCTGAATTGAGGATTCTTAATGCTTAATACTTCATAAATACTGCATCAAAGTTTTTTTTGTTTGTTTGGTTGTTGTTGTTTTTGTCGGCCATAGGGCCTGAACTCTGGGTCTGGGCACTGTTCCTCAGCTCTTTAGCTCAAGGCCAGCACTCTATCACTTGAGCCACAGTACAACTTCCAGCTTTTTCTGCTTATGTGGTGATGAAGAATTGAACCCAGGGGGGCTGGGAAGGTGGCTCAGTGGTAGAGCACTTGCCTTGCATGCTCGAGGCCCTGGGTTCGATTCCTCAGCACCACATAAGCAAAAAGAAAAAAGCCGGAAGTGGCGCTGTGGCTCAAGTTGTAGAGTGGTAGCCTTGAGCTGAAGAGCTGAGGGACAGCACCCAGGCCCAGAGTTCAGGCCCCACGACCGGACCCAAAAAAAAATAATTGAACCCAGGGCCTCATGCATGTACAGCAGGCACTTTATCACTGAGCCACCTTCCCAGCCCAAGTAATTTTTTTAATTAAAATTTATTTTCTGTTGGTTGTGCGGCTTGAACTCAGAGTCTTTTTATAAAGATTTATTTGCTTTGATAAATACTAAGGTTTTTAACAATAAGTATAGCTTATAACTTATTATGATTTAATATAAATAACTTGTTTTTTTCCTAACCTTAGCTGAAGTTTGCTACATTCTTTTTGCTCTTGTTACTTTTGAGATAGGATCTCACTTTTTATTTCGGCTGGCCTGGACTTGTATCATCCTTTTTTTCTTTTTTTTTTTTTTTGCTCAGGTTGGCTTGGAACCTCAATCCTCCAATATCTCTCTCTCTCAAGTAGCTGGAATTACAGTGTTTCAGGAGTACCCTGGGCTGGTGTACTGATAGATAAGCAGTTTTAATTGTAAACCATTGGAGGTGTTTCCCAATTCATGATCATCATTATGTTTGAACTATATTATTATAATATACATTAGGTTAATATGTGAGTTTAATCTTGACAATAGAGTTATTTCTAGAAAACTGTAGTTTGAGTTTAGAACTTTATGCGATTATGATTTATGGACTACGTGTATAAACTAAATACTCTGAGATCATTTGAATTTTAAATTTTGTCCTTATCATAGTAACACTTGTAATTCCAGATTACTTTTTCAAGTGGAACTGTTTTTTTAAGGTTTCAGGTACGTTCACCAACTTTTTTTCAAAAATGCCGGGACCAGCATTGGTATATTACTCAGTTGGAAGCTGCACAGGCTAGTTACATCCAACAAATAAACAACCTTAAGGAGGTAAGAAAAGAGGTTTATTTCATTTATTTATTTATTTTTGGGTCCGGTTGTGCAGCCTGAACTCTGTCCCTCAGCTCTTCAGCTCAAGGCTAGCACTCTACCACTTGAGCCACATCACCACTTCCGGCTTTTTTTCTTTTTGCTTATGTGGTGCTAAGGAATTGAACCCAGGGCCTCATGCATGCAAGGTAAGTACTCTACCACTGAGCCACCTTGCGAGCCCCAAAAAGAGGTTTATTTCTGGTTTAGTGCTTTCTTTTTGCCTGTTAAATTTGGAATTAGATTTTTTTTCTCCTCTATGCTGACTTTGAGTCGAGGGCGGGGAGAGTGGAGTTTAGAGTACTGGAAGTGGCTAATGAAGGACAAAGATATGTGTACTTTTGGAGGCTTTCATATTAAGTGTACTGTTCAACTGCTTGGTCTGGGGATGTAGCTCAATTATACAGTGCTTACTATGCCCTAAGTTTCTTCCTCAGAACCACCAGAAAGAAAAAAAAAGTTGGGCTGGGAAGGTGGCTCAGTGGTAGAGTGCTTGCCTTGCATGCCAGAGGCCCTGGGTTCGATTCCTCTGCACCACATAAGCAAAAAGGAAAAAAAAAAGCCGGAAGTGGCCCTGCGGCTCAAGTGGTAGAGCGGTAGCCTTGAGCTGAAGAGCTGAGGGATAGCGCCCAGGCCCAGAGTTCAGGCCCCACGACCAGACCCCCCTCCCCCCCCCCCAAAAAAAAAAAAAAAAGTCAACCAAATACAAAATCTGCCTGTGTTCTCTGTAGAGAACTGGTTATGAAAGAAGGAGGATAAAAATAAATGGGGCAGTTAACTTTTATTTTTTTTATAAGCGCAGGAGAGGAGGAAATGGATCCATTTAAACTCTATCCTTTGACAGTGCTGGGATTTTAACTAAGGGTCATATGCTCTTTGGTAGTCACTCTACCTCTTGAGCTATATCTAGCCCTTTTTTAAAACTTTATATGTATTTTTTATGGAGCTAATGAGTACTGCTTAAAATTTTAACTTGTATTGTTCTTCTTTTAAAAGAGACTTACCATTGAGCTGTCTAGATCTCAGAAATCAAGAGATCTGTCACCACCAGATAATCATCTTAGTCCCCAAAATGATGATACTCCGGAGATAAGAGCTAAGAAGTCTGGATCATGTTCTGACATGCTTCTTGAAGATGGTCCTACTACAGCTTCTGTAAGGGAAGCCAAAGAGGATGAAGATGAGGAGAAGATTCAGAATGAAGATTATCATGTAATAATCAGAATGATAATACAAATAATAGAATCATGATTTCTAACATACAATGTAGGGAAAGAAGTATGCTAAAACTGATGTCCATTGATTTTCATTATTTACATATGGACATTCTTTTTTTTTTTTTTCCAATTGTGAGGCCTGAACTCTGGGCCTGGGTGCTGTCCCTCAGCTCTTCAGCTCAAGGCTAGCACTCTACCACTTGAGCCACAGTGCCACTTCTGGCTTTTTTTGATTATGTGGTGCTGAGGAATCGAACCCAGGGCCTCATGCGTGCAAGGCAAGCACTCTACCACTGAGCTAACTTCCCAGCCCTGGACATTTTTTTATAAATAGTAATGTTTATGAATTACAAGTAGGCAAGTCAAACTTTTTGTTGTTGTTGTTCTGGTCCTGGGGTTTGAACTTAAGACCTGGGCACTATCCCTGAGTATTTGTGCACAAGCCTAAAACTCTACCACTTGAGCTCTACTTCCAACTTTTTGGTGGATAAGTGGAGCTAAAAGTGTCACAGACTTTTTTTACTCAGGAGGCTGAGATCTGAGGATCATGGTTCAAAGCCAGCCCGGGCAGGAAAGTCTATAAGACTTTTTTTTTTTTTTGGATCCGGTCTGAACTCTGGGCCTGGGCACTGTCCCTCAGCTCTTCAGCTCAAGGCTAGCACTCTACCACTTGAGCCACAGCACCACTTCCGGCTTTTTTTTTTCTGCTTATGTGGTGCTGAGGAATCAAACCCAGGGCCTTAAGCATGCAAGGCTAGCGCTCTACCACTGAGCCACCTTCCCAGCCCTCTATAAGACTCTTATCTCCAAAAAACCACTCAGAAAACTGGTAGTGGTGCTGTGGCTCAAGTGGTAGCATGCTCTGCTTGAGCTGAAGAGCTTAGGGACAGCGCCCAGGCCCAGAGTTCAAGCCCCAAGACTGATAAAAAATAAATAAATAAAAGTCTCACAGACTTTCTTGTCTGGGTTGGGTTGAAGCCAGGATCCTTTAGTTTTGGCCTCTTGAGTAGCTAGGATTACAGGAGTGAGCTACCAGCATCTGGCTTAAAAGCATTTTAGTTTTAAATTTTAGTTTATTTTAGAAAACTATATTCTGTGAAACTGATGTATAGTCTAGAAACTAAATTATGAACTTTAAAAAGGGTATTTTGTTCACTAAAACTAGTATTTACTTAATTGTTAGATATACTGGTAGAATGATTTATGATTTGGGAAACTGCCAAGTTTTTGCTCTAGCAAAGCCACCAGAATAAGAATTGAGAAAGTCTTTGGAGTTTTCTTTTTTGTTGTTGTTGTTAAGGTCAGTATACACAAGCAAGGTTTTCTGTTGTTCTTCTAAGATGAAGATACTTCAGTTTTATGTTAAAAAGGAGCCAGCAAGGGAGGAAAATACAGATGATAGGATTAAGCTCTTGATATTAAGGTGACAATAGGGATTAGAATGTAGGTTTGATAGGCTGAATAAAAGAAGTAATAGTGTTTGTAGGTCAGGTAACTGAAAGTAGGACATTTATGTTTAATAGAGTTCTTTTTTTCCTGTGCAGTAGGTGATGGGTTTATTTAATGAACGGGAAGATTTTTTGGGGGGGGGGGGATCCAGTCTTGGGGCCTGAACTCTGGGCCTGTGCACTATCCCTCTGCTCTTCAGCTCAAGGCTAGCGATCTACCACCTGAGCCACAGCGCCACTTCCGGCTTTTTTCTTTTGCTTATGTGGTGCTGAGGAATCGAACCTGGGCTTCAGGCATGCAAGGCAAGCGCTCTACCACTGAGCCACCTTCCCAGCCCATGAACGGGAAGATTAAGGCTAGGTAGTCGTGGTTTGAGATGTTATTCTGTGAGGAACCTTACTGAACTCAATGATGGACTATATGACATTTTTTTCTTTGTATTAAGGGCCCAGATGGACTGATAACCCCAAATTAGTGGCTCTCAATCAGGGTAGTTGTATGATTTTTTTTTTAAATGGGGTGATGCAGTATAGGGATAGTGCCAGAGAATTGAATTCTGATAATTACTTCATTCTTAGATGTTTGGTTCGGAGAGTGGAAACATTTGGAATAGCAATGTTTTCTTTGCTTTGGTCTAGCATGAGCTTTCAGATGGAGATCTGGATCTGGATCTTGTTGGTGAAGATGAAGTAAATCATCTTGATGGAAGCAGTTCCTCTGCTAGTTCTACAGCAACAAGTAACACAGAGGAAAATGACATTGATGAAGAAACAATGTGAGTGTCCCATGCTAGCTTATAAGGGAGGATTTTCAGTTTGCTCTAGCTATGGTACATTTTATAAACAAACTTAAAGACTACATAAAGAACCAGTTTCTTTTCTCAAATCTCTGATTTCAACATTTAAGTTTAATATTGAAGTTACTCTTCTTTTGGCTAGTCCTGGGACTTGAACTGTGGGCCTGGGTCCTGTCCCTGTGCTTTTTGCTCAAGGCTAGCACTCTTATCTCTTTAGTCTTGGTACCACTTCCAGCTTTTTCGGTGATTACTTGGAGATACAAGTCCGCACCACTTCCAGCTTTTTCTGTGATTATTTGGAGATAAAAGTTTCTCTGAGCTGAGCACTTGTGGCTCACATCTGTAATCTTAGCTACTCAGGAGGCTGAGATAAGAGGATAGAGGTTCGTAGCCAGCACAGGCAGGAAAGTCCGGGAGACTCTTATCTCCAATAAATCACTAGAAAACTGGAAGTGGTGCTGTGGCTCAAGTGATAGAGTGCTTGCCTTGAGCTGAAGGGCTGAGGGACAGCACCCAGGTCCAGAGTTAAAGCCCCAGACTGACAAAAATAAAATGTCTCACAGACTTTCCTGTCTGGGCTGACTTCAAGAAACCTTGATCCTTAGATCTCAGGCTCTTGAGTAGCTAGGATTACAGGAATGAACCACTGGCACCTGCCTTATACATTTTATATGTAAAAAATATCAAAAATATTATATCTATAGTCACTTAACATGGGTTTATTTCTCAAATCTTTTGACAGTATTGGGGAATGAATTCTGAGTCTTGAGCTTGCTAGGCAGGTGTGCTGTCTACTGCTTGAGCCACACTTCTTGCTCCTTCTTGCCTTCATTATTTATTCGTTTTGTTTATGTATTTATTGTGCCAGTCCTGGAGCTTGAACTCAGGGCATAATCTCTGAGCTTTTATTTATTTTCCTGCAAATAACATAGTTTTTCTTGATCCATTAATCTGTTTTAGACCATGTGGGTTGTTTCCATGACTTGGCTATATGAATAGTAAAATGGATGCACAAGTGTCTTTATAGTATCCTGACTTTTAATTTTCTGGATAGATGCCCAAAAGTAGTATTGCTGGATCATAGAGTAGTTTTTTGTTTGTTTATTTGTTGTTGTTGTTTTTGCCAGTCATGGGGCCTGAACTCTGGGCCTGGGCGCTGTCCCTCAGCTCTTCAGCTCAAGGCTAGCTAGCGCTCTACCACTTGAGCCACAGCACCATTTCCGGCTTTTTTCTTTTTGCTTATGTGGTGCTGAGGAATCGAACCCAGGGCCTCATATGCATGCAAAGCAAGCACTCTACCACTGAGCCACCTTCCTAGTCCGGGTGTTTTATTGTTGTTGTTGTTGTTTTGTTTTTGTTTTTTGGCAGTTGTGGGGCTTGAACTCTGGGCCTGGGTGCTGTCCTCAGCTCTTCAGCTCAAGGTGAGCGCTCTACCACTTGAGCCACAGCTCCACTTTTGGTTTTCTGGTTGTTTATTGGAGATAAGAGTCTCACAGACTTTACTGCCCAGGCTGGCTTTAAACTGTGATCCTCAGCTCTCAGCCTCCTTAATAGCTAGGGTTACAGGCATGAGCCACCAGTGTCCTGCTATAGAGTTTTTTTGAGGAATCTTTAAACTTCCTTCCACAGTGGTTATACAGTTTACATTCCCACAAACATGATAATTGGATTCCTTTTCCCCACATCTCCATCACCAGGATTTGATATTGGTTGTATTAGTTTTTGGGGGTTGATCCTCAGGTCTTGGCTTCCTGAGTAGCTAGGATTACAGGCGTGAGTCACCGGCGTTCGGCTTTTAAAAGTAGCTTTATTCATAATATTCCAACACTTCAGAGATCTCAAATGTCCTTCAATGGGTGAAGTTAATCTGCAATATACCCAAACATAGATTCTTACCCAGCAATTAAAAAGAAGTATCTACTAATACACATTATAACCTAGCTGTTATATCCAGAGAATTACTCAGGGCTGGGAAGGTGGCTCAGTGGTAGAGCGCTTGCCTTGCATGCTTGAGGCCCTGGGTTCGATTCCTCAGCACCACATAAGCAAAAAAGAAAAAAGCCGGAAGTGGCGTTGTGACTCAAGTGGTAGAGTGGTAGCCTTGAGCTGAAGAGCTGAGGGACAGCGCCCAGGCCCAGAGTTCAGGCCCCACGACCGGACCCCAAAAAAACAAAACAAAACAGAGAACTACTCAGAGCGAAAGAACCCAAGCCTTTAAAGTCGCTGCCTTTGTTTACATAACATTCTTTAAATGGGGACTCATAATAAATGGGCAAAAGAGCGAAATAGAAGCCGGGCGTTGGTGGCTCACGCCTATAATCATAGGTACTCAGGAGGCTGAGATCTGACCATCGCGGTTCACAGCCAGCCCGTGCAGGAAAGTCTGTGAGACTCTTATCTCCAATAAACCACCAAAAAACTGGAAGTGGCACTGTGGCTTAAGTGGTAGAGTGCTTGCCTTGAGCTGAAGAGCTGAGGGATAGCACCCAGGCCCAGTGTTCAAGCCCCATGACTGACCAAAAAAGTACAAATGTCAATGTAAATTTACATTTCTTGGAGATAAAGTTAGCTGCTAGATTGTGTTACAATTGTGTGTTCAGTTTTTTAAGGGAATGACAAAGGGTTTTCTGGAATGACTGTACTATTTTACATTTCTTCCAGCTTTGTATTAGGGATCCCATTTCTCTGGCTCCTTATCAGCATTTGCTATTGTCATTAAATTTTATTTTATGTATTTGATTAATATATAGTGATACTTCATGGTTTACTATCCATTATTATAAAATGCATTGAGGTACAACACATTCACATGTTTGTTTTATTTTTGTTCATTCTTAGGTCTGGAGAAAATGATGTAGAATACAGCAACATGGAATTGGAAGAGGGAGAACTCATGGAGGATGCGGCTGCTCCAGAACCTCCAGGTACAGAAGCAAGGCCCAGGAAGCCATTCTGTCTTCTCTCTTTGATTTCTTCTAACTGTATATTTACTATTGGTACATATTTACTGTTGTACATGGTTCATGGTATTACAAGTACTGAATCTTAGTCCCAGTAATGATGTTTAATAATAAAGGGGATGGGATATAGCTCAGTGGTAAAGCACTTGCCTACAAGTGCAACATCCTGGGTTTGATTCCCAGCACCAAAAAACTACAATTAAATAATAAAGGTACCACTTATGAATTGTTCATATGTATCAGACACTCTGTGAAGTACTTTATCTCATTTACTTATAAAATTCTATGAGATAGGTTAGTTTATTTTGAGGCAGGGTCTTGCTGTTTAAATAGCCCAACTATCTTGGTGCTGGGATTACATGAATGTACCACCAAGCCTGGCCCAAGTCTACCTTTTATAATTATAGAAACTGATAACTTAGGAGTATGACTCAAATGGTAGAGCATTTGCATAGTAAGTGCAAGGGCCCTAGTTTAGATTCAGTACTGAAAAAAAGAAACTGATGTTTAGTAATAAGCAATATTTATTTATTAAGTAGAAGAAGGTACTTCTGTGTCTGGATCAGCAAAGGATATTTAGAGAGCTTATTTTGAGGTCGGAAAAACTCAAGAGATTTAGTAGCCTGTCATATAGTTGTAAAGTACAACATAAGCCAAACCTGGGCCCATTTAGTAACTGCTGAGAAAACTGAACACTGTATCAGGGTATTGGAATTTGAAGTCACCTTGGGCATCAAGGCCTTGGAAAGTACCCATTTTCTAAAACTATTCTGTTCCTTAGGTCTCTCTGACTATATTGGGAGGACCTATATACCACTCCTGATTAGTTCCTGGCTACGTTTTTCTTTTTGTTTTGTTTTGTTTTTTTTGGTTGGTCATGGGGCTTGCACTCTGGGCCTGGGCACTGTCCCTCAGCTCTTCAGCTCAAGGCAAGTGCTCTACCACTTGAGCCACAGCACCACTTCCGGAGATAAGAGTTTCATGGGACTTTCCTGCCTGGGCTGGCTTTGAGGCTTTAAATTGCAATCCTCAGATCTCAGCCTCCTGGGTACCTAGGATTACAGGTGTGAGCACAGGTGATGGGCTCTGGCTACTTTTTACCTAACTTATCTGTAACAAGTGTAGCAATGTCTTATTGTATCCTTAATACCCTTTAGTAGGGTAGATTGGATTTTCCAAATCTTTACACTTTAAGTCCCAGTTAAATTCTAGTTTTAAATCATACCTTTGCTTCTTCTTCTTCTTCTTCTTTTTTTTTTTTTTTTTGGTCGGTTGTGGAGCTTGAACTCTGGGCCTGGGTGCTGTCCCTCAGCTCTTCAGCTTAAGGCTAGCCGGCTACCACTTGAGCCATAGCGCCACTTCCAGCTTTTTCTGCTTATGTGGTGCTGAGGAATCGAACCCAGGACCTCATGCATGCGAGGCAAGCACTCTATCACTGAGCCACCCATACCGTTGCTTCTGAATCTTGCTCTGAGGAGTTAAAAATACCCATGTACCTCCTTTATAATATTTAGCAATTTCGGGGGCTGGGAAGGTGGCTCAGTGGTAGAGCGCTTGCCTTGAATGCCTGAGGCCCTGGGTTCGATTCCTCAGCACCACATAAAGAAGCCGGAAGTGGCACTGTGGCTCAAATGGTAGAGCGTTAGCCTTGAGCTGAAGAGCTGAGGGACAGCACCCAGGCCCAGAGTTCAGGCCCCACGACCCGACCCAAAAAAAAAAAATATTCTTTTTTCCTTTTTTTGTGATGTTACTGGGGCTTGACCTCATGGCCTAGGCACTGTCTCTTAGCTTTTTTGCTCAGGGTTAGTGCTCTACCACTTGAGCCACAGCTCCACTTCTAGCTTTTTGATGGTTAATTGGAGATACGAGTCTCACAGATTTTCCTGCCTAGACTGTACTCAGGGTCTTCAGCCACCTGAGTAGCTAGAAATATAGGCACCTGGCTGCTTAGCTATTTATTTAGATATACTAAGTTATCATCACTCTTAAGTTTTTTCTTTGATAAAGCCCAGGGCATAGATTTAGTTGAGGGAAGTCTTTTACTACTTAATACTTAACTAACTGTGAGAAATGACTCATCCTAATGAAACATGCTAATAGTGGAGAAGGTGGGTTTGAAACATCTAGACCTCTAGTATCTTTTCAGCTTCTCTCTAAATTTTGAAATGAGTTAAAAAAAATACTGCAGGGAACAAAAACTAACTTGAGGATGAGATAGGGCAGAGTATAGAAATTGATTTTATTGTGAAAGTCTAATCCTGTCTAAACAATTATGATGTTAGATTATCCATTAAAATATAAGAGGTCAGTCTTAAGAAATAAAACAAACAATTCTCTTACTCCAGTTTCAGTTGCCATAGCAGGATTTAGTTATTTGTAAAAGAAAAAAAAAGATAATTGTGGTTAGTGGTTTTGGAGGCTCAGAATTCCAACAAAATGGCAGACATCTGCTTATTTTCTGGTGAGGATCTAATACTCCAGCTCACAGCAGAAATCAGAAGAAGGGCAAGCGTGTTCAAATAAGACATAAGAGATAACCTTACTACAACTCATTTTTTGAAGACATAGTTCAGATCTTAAATGTCCCCTTCAAAGCCCATATATCTAAAGTTTAAGTGTCATTCTAATCTTGTGTATTAGCTCATTGACTCAGTATCAGGGAAAAAAATCTAGTGTGTATTTGCTGACCATGCATTATTTATGAAACCTTGCAACAATATATCTTACTTGAGGACTAAAAGGTTATGGCAATACAACACTTTTTTAAAAAAAACAAAAAACAAAACCAAAATGACATTGTGTGAGGTTTTACTCAAAATACATGATATTTATTTCAAAGTAAAGGGTTTTTATATCTCTCTAGGTACCAGGTACTGAGCGAGCTGTTCATTGGGATTATAAGAATGAATGTCATGCCAGGTGCCGGTGGCTCACACCTGTAATCCTAGCTAATCAGGAGGCTGAGATCTGAGGATCTCAGTTCAAAGCCAGCCTGGGCAGGAAAGTCCGTGAGTCTCTTAACTCCAATAAAGCACTAGAAAACCGGAAGTGGCACTGGGGCTCAAGTGGTAGAGCACTTGCCTTGAGCTGAAGAGCGAGAGACAGCACCCAAGCACAGAGTTCAAAAAAAAAAAAATGAATGTCACCTTTCCTAAGGGAGAATTCAGCATTAATAATTTCAAGATTTTGTATTTGTGAGTATTGATAAAGGGTGACATCAAAAGTAGATAGATTGGCTAATTGGTAATAGATGAAGAAAGGCCTTAGAAAGGTTATGATGCCTGATAATCAGTTGAAAATGAACCAAGAAGCTGGGCACCAGTGGCTCATGCCTGTAATCCTAGCTACTCAGGAGGCTGAGATCTGAGGATCGAGGTTCAAAGCCAGCCCAGCCCAAGCCCAGAGTTCAAGCCCCACGACTGACCAAAAAAAAAAAAAATGAACCAAGAAGTCAGGTGCTTGTGATTCACACCTGTAATCTTGTTTACTCTGGAGTCTGAGATATGAAGATTGCAGTTGCTAGGCAGCAAGGGCAGAAAAATCTGTGATACTCTGATCTCCAATAAACCACAAGAAAACCCGAAGTGGCACTGTGGCTCAAGTGGTAGAGCACTTGCCTTGAGCTGAAGAGCTGAGGGACAGTGCCCAGGCCCAGAGTTCAAGCCCCATGACCAACCCAAAAAAAAAAAAAATATATGAACCAAGAATTTATTAGAGAAACTTAGGAATTAGGAATGATAGATAACTTAGAAATTTAGGAATGATAGATAAGAAAGCAAAGGAATTCTAGTCAACAGACAGCATTGTATTTTTTCAGGACTTCAAATAATTGAGACTTTAATTTTTTTGGGGAGCGGGGGAGTCTGGTCGTGGGGCCTGAACTCTGGGCCTTGGCACTGTCCTTCAGCTCTTCAGCTCAAGCCTAGCGCTCTACCACTTGAGCCACAGCGCCACTTCCGGCTTTTTTCTTTTTGCTTATATGGTGCTGAGGAATCAAACCCAGGGCCTCAGGCATGCAAGGCAAGCACTGTACCACTGAGCACCTTCCCAGCCCTGAGACTTTAATTTTTATGACTATCCTCAACAGGTAATCAAGAAAGCCTCATCTGCCAAATAATCTGGGCTGTATTCTGTCAACCACCAAGTCTTTAAAAAAGAATCTGATTAGATTTCTGATGTAATGGACAATGTAGTAATGGTATATAAGTCGAGGAGATTATTTAGAAAACTGTCACTATCCTTGGAGGAGGGAAAATGAATGAGGTTCAAAATAAGGCAAACTAATAGGGAAGGATAAGTCTTTTGAGGGAAGTTCACAAGTTAGAATCCGTAATACTTGGAGTTGGTGGGGATTTGTTCTCTTGGTCTGGAACTTAGTTATATCCTTACATAAGATAAGATCAGGGAAGTGGCACTGTGTGGCTCCAGTGGTAGAGTGTTAACATTAAGCACAAGAGCTGAGGGACAGCCCACAACCGATTTTATATATATATATATATTTATTTATTTATTTTTGGGTCCGGTCCTAGGGCCTGAACTCTGGACCTGGGCACTGTCCCTCAGCTCTTCAGCTCAAGGATAGTGCCCTACCACTTGAGTCACAGTGCCACTTCTGGCTTTTGTTTTTTTTCTGCATATATGGTGCTGAGGAATTGAACCCAGGGCCTCATGCATGCAAGGCAAGCTCTCTACCACTGAGCCATCTTCCCAGCCCAATAATGTATTTATTTAGATGCATGTTGAGTTTAAGAGACTTGAAAACATTTGTTCACATGTTTATTTCTAGACCCATGTATCTAATTACATAGAATCCTCAGATGTGCATTCTAGCCTGGATATATTAATCTTTTTATACTGGCTTCACTATTTCTATTCAGAATACATGAATTAACTTAAAAATGCTCAGCTTCTTTCATCAGGGAAATGCAAATTGTTTCCTACTGTGGATCTCAAGGGTTTATATTTTGTGAAATTCTTTTTTTTTTTTTTTTTTTTTGGGTCCAGTTGTGGGGCCTGAACTCTGGGCCTGGGCACTATCCCTCAGCTCTTCAACTCAAGGCTAGTGATCTACCACTTGAGCCACAGCGCCACTTCTGGCTTTTTTCTTTTTGCTTATGTGGTGCTGAGGAAGTGAACCCAGGGCCTCAGGCATGCAAGGCAAGCGCTCCACCACTGAGCCACCTTCCCAGCCCCATATTTTGTGAAATTCTTAAGCATCTTGAGTGACTAGATTAATAACTTTAATCATACTTGGGGATTTTTCAGCCATTTTGAGTGTGTTTGTCTGTGTGCTATGTGTTGGGGCTTGAACTCAGGGCTTGTATACTGCCCTTGAGCTTTTTTTTTTTGTTCAAGGCTATCACTCAAGCCACAGCTTCACATCTGGCTCTTTTGGAGAGCTAATTGGAGATAAGAGTCACGGGTTTCTCTGCCTTGGCTGGCTTTGAACCACAATTCTTAGGTATCAGACTCCTGTGTAGCTAGGATTATAGGTGTGAATGTCTCTTTTTTTTCTTCTCCTGTGCCTCCCCTTAAGTCTTGATATACTGGGCTGGGAAGGTGCTCAGTGGTAGAGTGCTTGCCTTGCATGCATGAGGCCCTGGGTTCGATTCCTCAGTACCACATAAGCAGAAAAAGCCAGAAATGGAGGTATGGCTTAAATGGTAGAGTGCTAGCCTTGAGCTGAAGAGCTGAGGGACAGCATCCAGGCCCAGAGTTCAAGCCCCATGACTGGACCCAAAAAAAAGACTTGATATACTTACTAGGATTCTAAGTTTTTTTTCAGTTTTCTGTTTTGTAGGAAATGGCCATAAAAACCATAGCAACATGCCACTGCACACTGGCCATAATAATTTTTTAAATTCTAATCGTTAATATTTTTGAGATTAAGTGATTATATAAATAGTTAATTTTTTTTTTTTTTGGTTGGTCGTGGGGCTTGAACTCTGGGCCTGAGCGCTGTACCTCAGCTCTTCAGCTCAAGGCGAGCACTCTACCACTTGAGCCACAGAGCTATTTCCGGTTTTCTGAGTGTTTATTGGAGATAAGAGTTTCACGGACTTTGCTGCCTGGGCTGACTTTGAACCGTGATCCTCAGATCTCAGCCTCCTGAGTAGCTAGGATTACAGGTGATAAATAGTTAATATTTTTATAAAACTGCTAATACTATTTAAAGCATAGAGAGAAGTAGAAACTCTCAACCCTGCTTCAGAGAATGAAAATTGATATTGCTACTTGGGAAAACTGTTGGGCAATATGGAATAAATTTGAATGTTCACTTCACCATGATGGTACCATTCCCAACAGAACCTTAAACTAGTCTTTGCCAGCAGATTTTTGTAAGAACATTTAGGAATAAGGGAAGAACGATGGATAGGGTGACACATAAAGATGCATTATACTCATAAATTGACCTGTTGACCTCAAACTCCTTTGTCATCTATATAAGGATATAAAAGTATTCAAGAAATGTAATTAAAAAATCAAGAAACATTTTTAGATTGGCATTCTTATTTTTAAAGGAATTTGTAACAAAGTTAAGGACATGAAAATATAGCCTGAGAAGACTACAGAGCCATGAACATCGTACTACTACACGCATGCACTTACTGAACTCAAGTTGATCAGTGTGATGTTTTGGCAGTATTCAACTAGTTTGGTACATGAGAACAAGACTCTTGACACTGATTTTTTTGTTGTTGTTGTGGGCATGGGACTTGAACTTGGGGCCTAGTCACTGTCCCTGAGCTCTTTTGCTCAAGGATAGTGTTCTACCAATTTGAGCCACAGAGCCACTTATGGTTTTGTAGTGATTAATTAGAGATATGTCTTATGTACTTTCCTGCTCTGGCTAGCTTCAAACCATGATTCTTAGATCTCAACCTCCTGAATAGCTACAATTATAGATATGAACTACCAGCATCTAGCTTTGATTTTTTTTTTAACTAGATATTTTATTTATTTTTCCAGGTGAGCTGTAAAAGTAGTATGTAATTTTAGTGGGTTTGTTTTTTCTTTTTTTTTTTTTCAGCAGCACTGGAGTTTGACTCAGTTTCTTTCCATGCAAGCATTCTTCCATTTGAGCCAAGCCCCCAACCCTTTTTCCTTTTATTATTTTTCATCTTTAATCTTGCATTTATGCCTGTTTTGGCCTTAATCATGGTCCTTCTACATATAATTCTTGCACTGCTGGGGTAACAAGCATACCACTGTACTCACCTTTTTGTTGGTTAATATGAGGGTCCTATAATTTTTTTTGCCTGAGCTCACTTGGAACAGCTATCTTGATCTATGCCTCCTAAGAGTGAGCCACTATACCTGGTGAGAAGAAAAGCATATTTTTTCTCAGTAGAGTAAATAAATAAATTGGATATGTTGTTATGATGATATTTTATTATTTACTATAACAATGAAGATGAACCAGCGGTTGTTATATAAAGCAATATAGATGAGTCTCATAAGTATAATATTGAACAAGAAGCAGAGTATAATATTAACTACATTTTTATAAATTCTAGACAAGCAAAACCAATCTGTTTTTAACGTTAGAAAGTTCTGGGGATTAACCTTACTGAGCAATTTTATGATCCATGAGATAAGACTTTATTTTTTAAAACTATTTAAGTAGTTGTACAAAGGAGGTACCATACAACAAAGCAGTTTATGAATATAATGCATCTTGATCAGTGTCACCTTTTCAACATTCTCAGCCCCCTTCAATATTCTCACCCCTCTTCAACCTATCCCTTCCATTACTTAATTTTGGGGTATGCACAATGAATTCTTGACTGCATTCCTCCCCCTTCTCTCCCTTCAGTTACCTGCTCCTCTCCTCTTGTTCACCTTCCTTGGGTGTACCCTTTCCTTGTGTTGATTTTCTTAACTGAAGTATGATAGACTCTATAGAGAGCTCAAATAGTATAATCTTTTAGAAAGACTAGTTTAAAGCCAAATAGAATTTTGTTTTTGAGTTAACATACATTTGTAATACGAGAAGGGTTTTATTGTGATATTTCCATACATGTACACAGTACACTGTGAACAAATATATTTGTTCTACCATATTCTATCATATTCCCATTCCACCTATATTCCCTCATATCTTCATCTACATAGATTTGCTTTGTGAATACTCATTAGGCAGTATGTTTCTGTATATGACATACTTACATATACATATATAGATACACAAAATGGTAGTGATACTAGCTCTGAAAGAGAGAACCTGAAATAGATGGTAAAGCCATTGATGTCTTATTCAGGAATAGGATAGTTAGCATAAAGGACAAGGTTTAGCTAAAGTATATATAATCCATAATGGAAGGCTAATTTTAGCTCAGTAAAAATAGTGGTCTAGAAGAATAGTAAGAAGCAGCAAATAGCTAACTGCTTTCTGTAATATATTTCTGTAATATGTATTCTGTATATATTCTAGATAGATTTGATCATGCTCTTGGGTTCTGTATACTAATGAAGTTACAGCTCAATCACTGTGCTGGTGTCTGGCAGCCTTTTTCCTTTGTGTGTCTCATCATGAACATGAATTCCTGTGTAAACTACCACTAGTCAAGTGTTAACCCTTTTTCATTTATGTATGCTTAAATTTGTGCAAGCATATACAATATACTTTCTACATCTTTATTTCTTTTGCAGGTAGTACCCATGGCTATGTGGGTGCCAGTAGCAGAATGTCAAGAAGAGCACATTTATGCTCTGCTGCTACCGGTAGTTTATTAGACATTGATCCTTTAATCTTAATACATTTATTGGACCTTAAGGACCGGAGCAGTATGGAAAACTTGTGGGGCTTACAGCCTCGCCCACCTGCTTCACTTTTGCAGCCCACAGGTAAAATAATAACAATAACATTTTCTCTCTCTTTTTTTCCCCTGTGGTTCTCTAAGAGAACTGTTTGAATTTTCATCTAAGCATTTCATCTATGTATTGATCATAGTACATTTCTGTAGGAAATTGATCTTTCATTGTATAAGAATGACAGATTAGTTGTTTTTTTTCTTGCGGTGCTGAGTATTGAATTTAGGGCCTGGTGCATGCTAGACAAGCCCTCTGCCACTGAGCAATACCCCTAGTGCTCATGTTATATTAATTATGTCATATTAATATTTTGTTGTTGTTACTACTCAAAAGTATTCAGTACATAAATAAATTTACTTTAAGAAGGTTTTAGGAGACCGCTCAATTAGAATGCTTGTCTAGCATGCACAAGGCCCTAGGTTTAGCCCCCAGTACTACCAAAAAAAAATGAGAGAGAGAGAGAGAGAGAGAGAGATCAGGCTAAGAATAGGATTTGCCTTTCATGCATACTGCTCTGGTTTCCTCATACCACCAAAAATATGAAAAACAAAAACCTGCTTGGCACCAGTGGCTCATGCCTGTAATCCTAGTTACTCACAAGGCTGAGATCTGAGGATTGCAGTTTAAAGCCAGCCCAGGCAGGAAGTCACTGAGATTCTTCAGCTAACCACCAAAAAGCCAAAAGTGGAGCTGTGGCACAAGTGATAGAGCATCAGCTTTGAGTGAAAAAGTTAAGGGACAGCTCCCAAGTCTAGTTCAAGCTCTGGAACTAGTACCAAAAACCAAAACCAAGCCTCAAAACCTAATGAAGTTGTTCAATGATTTGCCACTTACATTGTACCTAATTGACAATTTGGTTCATATGAAGTACATTTATCTTCATGAATGGATCTGACTTGTAAAATGGACCTCTGTCTGAATTGAACATTTAAAAAGATTGTTTAGTCATGCTTTGGTATTCATTACATTTAAAATGTATACCAACTCTCATCATTGTTTATATGCAAAGGTTATTTGTTATGACAAATTAAGTAATTTGTAATATAGAGATTTGTAAAGTCCAATTTTTGCTTTTTAACACTGTCAGGGATAGTTATTTTAGACAGCCAAGGATTTATCACAAGATTTATTTTTAAATCCATTTTTTAGGGAATAGAGATATAGCTTAGTGGTAAGATTGCTTGCCTGGCATATGTGAGTCCTTGATTTGATCCTCAATATACTATTTGGGGGGTGGGGATGATTATAAAGCAACCATTATTTGTATTGAAATGCTTTCTAAAATACTTTTTGTTGAAGAATATATTTCTTGCCTGCTGCTTGTTGATAGGCATTTTTAATCTAATGAACACCAAAGCATGAATAAGCAATCTTTTTCCATGTTTACTTTAGACAGAGCTCTACTTAAAAGTCAGACCTGAGAAACTCTTTAAGTCTAATCACAGAAAAGTACAACTATACTTGAAATAGATCAGACTATCAAGTAAACACACCATAAATATAAAACTATCCTTTATTAAACAGCTTGGTAAAATATCAATATATTGATATTGAACATATTGAACCACTGTGTTTGTGTGTGTGTGTGTGTGTGTGTATGTGTGCACGCGCACGCACTATGCATACAAACTTGATATTACTCAAGACCTTGTGCATGTTAGGTAAGCCCTCTACCTCTCTACCTCTGAAATCACACTACCATCTCCCCCTACCTTCTTAAGTAGTAATGCTGTATATTGTATAAGTCAGGTAGTATGGAGAGTCTTTTTAATGCTGTTTTCAACCAGCAGAACTAATTTCTCAGACAATATCTCAGGCTGAACATATTTATAGAAAGTAGAAAGATAGAACTGCTGGGGTGGATTAGAGCAGAATTATTTTGGCCCCCCCCCCCTTTTTTTTTTCCAGTCCTGGGGGTTGAACACAGGGCCCTGAGCAATACTCTTCCTCTTGAGCTACAGTGCCACTTTCGGCTTTTTCTGAGCAGTTTATTGGATGTAAAAGCCAGCCTGGGCTGGCTTCGAACCACAATCCTCAGATTTCAGCCTCCTTAGTAGCTAAGATTATAGGCATGAGCCACTGGTGCCAGGCTTGGCCACTTACTCTTTTTTTTTTTTTCCTTGATTTTTTTTCTTTTTTTCTGGTCTTGGGGCTTGAGCTCAGGGCCTGGGCACTGTCCCTGAGCCTCTGTGCTTGAGCCACAGTGCTATTTCTGGCTTTTTTGAATAGTTTATTGGAGATTAGAGTCTAAACAGGGACTTGTCTGCCCAAGCTGGCTTTGAACCGTGATCCTCAGATCTCAGGCTCCTCAGTAGCTAGGATTACAGGCGTGAGCCACCATTGCCCAGCAACCACTTATTTTTTTAAAGTATACTTCCTGTTATCTGGGTCCATATGCTTAGAACTTTGTCTTTAGCCAGGTTATGGATTAGTTGTTTTTTATTCATGGTTCATGTACACTTTTATATAAATTTTTGTTTAAATTACAATTGGTGTTTTTTGCAAAGGTTTAGTGAAGTGGGTAAGTTTTGGTGATGCAGTAGACATATGAATCTAATGAGGAACAATTTTAATGGTAAGTTTAGTAAATAGGTAACATTTATTTTATTTTATTTTTTTATTTTTTTTGGGGGGGGGGTCCGTTCATGGGGCCTGACTCTGGGCCTGGGTGCTGTCCCTCAGCTCTTCAGCTCAAGGCTAGTGCTATACCACTTGAGCCACAGCACCACTTCTGGCTTTTTTCTTTTTGCTTATGTGGTGCTGAGGAATCGAACCCAGGGCCTCATGCATGCAAGGCAAGCGCTCTACCACTGAGCCACCTTCCCAGCCCCAGTAACATTTTTTTAAAATAACGTCCTTAGTAAGGAATGCAGAATATATAAATAATAAGACTTATTTTCTAAATAGTTTTCTGCATAAAATGAATGTTGAGATGAGATTAGTTGAGTTTCAAATGTAGGTAACCAGAATGCTGAGGAAGGTGGGAAGAAAAGTAGAAAGGAAAAGCAAGTCTTGGATTTAAGCATCTTCAGTTAGACAAACCAATGGGCTATCAAAGAGGCCTAGTAAATAGTTTAAAAATTAAGAACTGGAACTCAGGCAGTTATTTTCCTGAAGGTGATGCTGAATAATTAAAACTAAAGGAATAAGATTATAAAAAAAAATTTAAGAAAGTCAAGTATCTGGTCCTGATAAACATCTGTTTTTACTGAGTATGAGGAAGAAGGGAGAAAAACAACAGAAAAAGTCTTAGAAGCTAAATGAATATAACCTATCTATGAGAAGATATTAAAAACTAGTGTTGCCAAGCATTGGTGGCTCATGCCTGTAATCCTAACCACTGAGGAGGCGGAGATCTAAAGATCAAAGTTCAAAGACAGCCTGGGCAAGACAGTCACTGAAACTTAACTTCCAGTTCACCACCAAAAAGCTAGAAGTGGCACTGTGGCTCAAGTGGTAAATCCTTAGCCTTGAGCAGAAAAACACAAGGATAAGGCCCAAGCCCTAAGTTTAAGCTACTATAGAACTGGCAGAAAGAGAGATCTCACTTCTATTTTAACTTTGGTTGTTTGTGTATTCATTATTTCAGCATAGGTAATATACATCTGTATTGTGTCAGGCTTTTAGTCCATGTTTTTAACCCCTAGGCTCTAAAAATATCATAAGATGTTTCAGGTAATCTAGTTGAGCTAGATACTTGTAGGGCTAAGTAGAACTAGGAAGTTGAGTCTTTATCTGTGGAAATCCTCATATGCTAGTCTGAGGAATTTAGTCATGGTTGTCAGGTAATAGGGAGTTAGTGCTGCATCCTAGGCATAGTTTGACTACTGTATTTTAGAAAGTTGACATTGCCAAAAAAAAGCTATATAAGAAATAAGAGTTTAATCAGAGTACTGTTTTAGGGCTCTATTTTAAATAGTTCTTGGGGGAGGGCAAATGTATATTTTTTCTCAGTCATGTGCTTAAAAATACGTGGAGCTAGGGTAAAGTCTTCAGAATGTTTGTTGTTGGTGGTGGTGGTGCTCTTAGGGCTTGAACTCTGGGCCTGGGTGCTGTCCTTGAACTAGAGCTCTACCACTTTGAGCCACAGCTCCACTTCTGTTTTTCTGGTGGTTAATTGGAAGTAAGAGTTTCATGGACTTTCCTGCCTGGCTGGCTTTGAACTAATTCTCATATCTCAGCCTCCTGAGTAGGTAGGATTACAGGTATGAGCCTCTAGCACCCAGTAGAATTTTGTTACATTAAAATCTTACTGGGATTGGAGGTGTCGACTCAAGTGATAGAACACCAGCTGTGAGCTCAAAAAGCTTATTGAGAACATGAAGCCCTGAGTTGAAGTCCTGGTACCAGCAAAAATAAAAGGTTCTTAGCCTATGGGTAAAACTCCTGTTAGAATGTGTACTTAGCATGTGCAAAGTTTGAGTTCTAGTGTAACCTCAGAAAAGAGTAGGTTGTCCTTAACTTTTAAGGAACACACTATTAAAGGTAACCTGTAATCAAGATATTTTTGGTTTTGTGCCTGTCGTAGAGCTTTTTGGTGGTGAATTGGAGATAAGAGTCTCACTGGGCATTGGTTACTCATGCTTGTAATCCTATCTACTCAGAAGACTGAGATCCCAGGATTATGACTCAAAGCCAGCTCAGGCAGGAAAGTTGTGAGATTCTTATCTCCAGTTAACAACACAAAAGACAGAAGTGGTGCTACAGCTCAAAAGTGGTACAGTGCTAGCCTTGAGCCAAAAACTAGCTCTGGGACAGTACCAAAACCTTGAGTTCAAGCCCCCACAACCAACCAAAAATGTCTCACACTGTACTTCCTGGGCTGGCTTCAAACAATGATCCTCAAATCTCAGCCTCTTGTGTATCTATGATCACAGGTGTGAGCCACCAGTACCTGGCTTGACGTGTTTGTCTTTTTTTTTTATCATGTACTGCCCAGTATAGTGCTTTGCATTTAAAACAGGCTTGGTGGACTGGAGCCATGGCTCAGTAGTAGAGCACTTTCCTAGCAAACATGAGGCCTGAATTCATAC